CGACCAGTGCTACAGGTGAATTAGTTAAGGAAATACTACCGGAATACCTAAGAGACCCCATTGGGATTCATGATCCCAAATTCGCGGAAGAAATTGAAATTGAAATTATTGAAATTAAAAAAAGATGAGAGAAAATTGTAGGTACAGTATATTAAAGCACATAGGTAGCTAAGATTGATTGCAAATGACTGCAAACAGTCCAAATGGGATAGCCCCATAGTGGAAAACTTCGCCACACTTCGCCACAAGCTGGAGGCAGCTTCCAGGAAGGACAAAGCGCGTCTTCTAGCTGTGCAAGCGCCCCATGCCGGGGACTTCCTGTTGGCAGTCCCTAATTCCGCCTTGGGCACCCGCCTGGACCATCGGACCCTAAGTATTGGTGTTGCCCTGCGCCTTGCCGCCCCTATCTCCACCGAGCACCGGTGTATTTGCGGCCATGCACGGGCAGACCAATACGGCAGCCATGGTCTCATCTGTCGTAAGACACATGGAAAGATTGCCAGACATGAAGCAGTCAATGACATCATCAAGAGAAGTTTGGCTACAGCTGGGTGTCCAGCACAAAGGGAACCTCAGTTGCGCAGGCCTGACAACAGCCAAAAACGCCCAGATGGAGTCACCCTGCAGCCGTGGAGGGAAGGTAAACAGGTCGTGTGGGACTACACGTGTGCATCTACATTGGCTGATACCTATCTACCTTACAGTAGATAGGTATCAGCCAATTGTTTACTACTGATCTGTATAGTGTTTATGGGTAGTGTAGGAGAAATGGAATTATTCACAGAAACATCCTGGAGCCTGTCAGTAAAGTAAGACTGAAGGTATTGCAGGGAGTGACCTCTGACTCCATAATGATGTAATTTAAGAAGAAGATTTTGGTGGTTGACAGTGTCAAAAGCCTTACGTAGGTCCACAAATAGCCCAACAGGGAACTCATTTTTATAAAGAGCTAGAAGTTTCATTGTGCAGCCTATATCTTCCTTGTATCTAGAGGGGGTTTGTAAATGTTGGTTAGGAGAAATGTAGGGTAATGGTCTGTTGTGTTATCAATGATTATCCCTGAAGTAAGCGGAGAGGTTATGTTAGTCCAGATGTGGTCAAGAGCCGTGGCAGTATTATCAGTGATTCTAGTAGGTCTAGTGATTAAGGGTATGAGGAAGCAGGAATTCATAAAGTTGAGGAAACTAGCAGCAGGAGGGTTATCAGGCTTGTAGAGGTCAATGTTAAAGTCCCCTGAAATAATTGAGTGGTTTTTGTTCAGTCTGTTCTCCAGTATGATATTTCATAAGGTTAGAGTAGAATTCAGTCACATCAGTGTTAGGAATCCTGTAGACTGCTCCCACAGTCAGGACAGCCTCGCCACCCTTGACTCTGAAACAGGCAAAGATATACTCTCCACAGGCGTCTCTAGTTTTAATTACTTTTAAGCAAGTCAGTTCTTGGTGATAGTAAAGAGCAGTACCACCACCTCTTTGAACAGGACGACAGTTGTGAATTGTTGAGTAGTTTGGAATGTTGTAGAGTTAAGTAGTATCCTCTTTTAACCACGTTTCAGTAAGCACAACGAAAGAGAATTTGTTGTCAAGTGTTTGAATCAGGACACTGCAATCATCAGTGTTAGCTTAGCAATCTTGCATTTAAGTTAATTACAGAAACATTGTGATTATGTGTTAAAACATTGTTTACACTACATGCATAATACCTGCAATTGTGATCATTAAAGTGATGATTGTCATAGATACTAGATAAGAGGTTTAGTTCTGCTTCTATACTAGTTTGCATACAAGGGCTGTTTAACGGAAAAAGGAAAAAAAGACAATTATAAAAAAAGATCTCGATATAAAAAGTTATGCTGTAGCTTGAGTTTAGTAGAGGGCTGGATTTGGTAGTTGAATAGCTTTTAATGTGACGTGGTAATTGTCAAAATAAGCTAAATAATTGCGTTTACTATGATTTAGATCAGATATTTTTCAAAAGTAAAATAGTTACAAATCGATTGCGTCCGTTTTCTCTGATGGAAGCATGTAGTGGGATGTGATGGGGGACTTAGGTTCCTAGGGGGTCAGACTGGCGTGAGTGACGAATATATAACTCAGAATTCGTTAATTAGCTTTGAAATGGAGGAATTACATGAAGATTAGAGGATTATCTTTTTAATTTACCGTTGGTTGGATGTACCAACGATTAATAACCTCGAAATTCGAGGTTATAAGGGGAGATTTCCGATATGTTGAAAATTAAATAAAGGGCAGCCCGTCCCGGCCTGGCCCAGCCGCGCCCAATCCGGTCCTCCAGGCAAGGCCCCGGGGAGGCAGGCCAGGCCATGGAAAGGTGGGCCAGGCCCATGGGAGGCGGGCCAGGGCCCATGGAAGACGGGCCAGGCCTCTATGGGGTGGGCAAGGGCCCCGGACAGGCGGGAAAGGCCCAGGGGAGGCGGGGTCAGGCCTCGGAGAAGCGGGTCATGCTTATGGGAGGCAGGTCAGGGTCCCGTGGAGGCAGGCCAGACAAACTCATTGAGTTGATAAATCCGTGCTTGCAAGCCAATATATCCTCCAGACATACTTGAGGCATTATCGTATGTTTGATAGTGGAATTTTGTTCTCATTGAGAAAATCTATGACAGTATCTGTTAGATAATTTGCTTCCTGAGAAAAGATAGGATGAACATCAAGAAACGTTCCAAAGGCTCACAGACTTTAATGTATGGGGCAGTAAATGTCAGTTGATCTGTGTGTGAGATGTCTGGAGTGGAATCTACACTTATTGAAAAATACTTTGACTCTTTTACTTCTTCAAGAATAGTACAAAGAACATGTTGTCTCATTAATTCAATAAATTCCTCACAAATATTTGCAGATTTATAAATTATATAAAATTTATATAAATAAAAATATAAATGTTCGTTTGTTCAAAATCGCTAATCTCCGAAAGTTCTTCACCAATTGCCTTGAAATTTTCATACAACGTTCCATTTGCATCCGAGCGAGTTTTATATACATACTATATAGATGTCACGATGTCACGTCTGTGACGGGGAAAAAAACAGTTTTTTTTTTAACTGTGTTTTTCATGTGAAGGAAATCTACGAAACCTCTTTACCGGTTGCTTAGAAATTTTGACACAACGTTGCATTTGAATAGGCGCGTGTTTTTATGTACCTACTATATACATGCCTCACCTGTGACAGGAAAAAGTATGCTTTTTTGATAAACAGCACCATCTGTCGGACGTAAGAGCAACACACGCTATAATTTCCGAAAGTTCTTCACCAATTGCTTTGAAATTTTGATACAACGTTCCATTTGAATACATGCGTGTTTTTATATACCTACTATATAGATGTCACACCTGTGACAGGTAAAAACCATGTTTTTTTTTTTTTAAACAGCATCATCTGTTGCAGGAAATAGCAACACACGCTATACTAAATATGTTACGATTCCATTTCAATGTTTCCGATTGCATTGATAAATTTTATTTTCATAGATTTCGATTTATTTTCATTTTGATTTAATTATTTTGTGTGACATTGCATTGGAATTGAGCTGTGTTGTTTACTATACCGTTCATTTCGTGAGTATAGTTTATTTTTTATTTTTTTCATTTCGTTTTTTTTAACTGTTCTACTTATTTTTCAGTGATGGGAACATCAGATCATTTGGGAACACATCAGATGAGGGATTGGGGAATGGTGGGGGAGGCTGAGGGGGACGGGAGTGGGGAATGGTGGGGAGGACGAGGGGATGTGGGAGTGGAGAATGGTAGGGGCAGACAAGGGAATAGGGAAGTGGGGGATGGTGCGGAGGACGAGGGGGACGGAGGAATAGAGATTGGAGAGGAGTACAAGGGGACAATGGAGTGGGGGGGGGGAGGACGAGGGGATGGGGGAGGGAGTAATGGTGGGGAAGGACACGGGAACAGGGAAGTTGGGTATGATGTGAAGGATGAGGGGACAGGAGAATGGTGGAGAACATGAGGGGACGGGGGAGTGAGGGATGGTGGGGAGAATGAGGGGACGAAAGAGGGGAGAATGGTGTGGAGGATGAGGGGACTGGGTAGTGGGAAGTGATTAAGAGGATGAGGGGATGGGGGAGGGGGAAATGGTAGTGATGACAGGGGGTGGGGAGTGTTGCTGTGGCTCAGCAATGTGCATGCATTGCTTGCCACAGCAACGCGTGGCCGGGTACAGCTAGTATTATAATAAAATATTTATTTACGTTTTGTTTTCGTAATTGTAATTAGATTTAAATCAATTCTGGAAAATTAAGTTTCTGTTTTTGATCAAATTTTGTTATAAAATTAATATATTCAAACTTCAATTATGTGTAATCACGTTCTACATTCATTACCAATACAAATGTAAGTAAATATTTTATTTATCTGTAATGAATGTAATAATTAGTTACGCAATTGTAGGTAAATTTGGATAAATTTGGGTCATTCTACATCTACGTTGTGAGCGTCAGGCAACACAGAGACCTCGAACGGGGACCTCTTAAGAGTAGCCTAATTATAAGATCTGAGAGAGATTCATTGATGCTGTTTAGGCGTTAAGTCACCACAAAGATCCCATTAAGTTATATCACGAGTATTTCAAATAGCTCGACACATATAAAGATCTGTGAGTATGTGCTTGCAGGGTCGATGGTTATCTCCTGAGCCCGCCTTCTCAGCAATCAGCTGTCTAATGCAATGTCTCCCGACCCGCCTATATCTTATCATATTAGTTGTTTAACTGACTACTGAGTTAGTTTCTATAATACCTTCCTTCCAAACCAACTGCACTTGATCATTAATTTAACACTAAACAAATTCACGTGTGTATGTTGTACAAACACACACACACATACTATACATACATTACGACAGGGCATTAAATACTTACAATTAAAATTTTAAACGGATATAAAATGTTTATATTTTTTTGTATAAAGAATTTTAGATAAGAGTGAGATAGGTTGGTGAATTAGGATAAAGGTGGACGTGATAAGATTGCGAGATATTTTAGGGGTCTCAGTGTTGGCGGAGCCATGATGTTGACTGTGGGGTCCGCTCTCCTCTTGTTTGTCCTGCTCTCGGTAAGTTCCACTTCTAATGCAGCCTATTATTACTTTAGTATATATTCATAGCATTTTGGTTTTGCAAGTTTTGAGAGTTGAGGTTGAGATGAACATTTGCACAGGCGCACATCATAAGATATATATATCACCACACAGGGCCCTCAAAATCCTGATCACTCTTGTTCAAGAGATCTTAGAGATATGAAAGGGATACAACGGATTTTAAAACTTTACACAACCTAGTCTAGTCTAACCCAAACTAGCCTAATCGAAGCTAACACAGCCTAACCTTAACTAACACACGCAAACCCAACGATACACATGGCTTTGACAATCAGAAAACAGGGTTTGGCGAACTGTCTAGTACACGACTTGCCCACACCCGGTTGACAGTTCTCACATCCCTTCAACACAGTATTTTACTGCCTAGACTCATAATTTGAAATCCAGGGTACAATTCTTGGAGAGACATAAACGGCTTTGCACGTTTCCTTTCACATAATGCCTCTGTTCACCTAGTAGTAAGTATATGTCTCCACTGTCAATTGAATCTTGAGGAAGACCAATAGTTCGTCGTAGTGGGACCTATAAACCTAAGCACAGCTGTTCCCAACAGCTGAAATTGTGAACATGTAGACAACCGTGAATCTTAAGAACAAGTATCGCCACAAGGCAGCCCATCCTCATAAACAAAGGTTAAAGTCCATTCAATGCACCCGACAAACCCCTATTTAATGATAATAATTTATCCACAAGAAGGTACAATGGGTTGGTGAGATTACATAAGATTGGTATTTGTACATTCATGCAAAGCCACTAACACGCATAGCGTATCGGGCAGGTCCTTAATCTAACATATCAGGTAAGATGAAAAGGTACATTGTAGCAAGGTTTTATATCAACAAATAACTACAATATAAATTGACAGGTGATTACACCTGGTAAGGATATATGTCTTAAGTACTAATATTGTGGAAGTTGGTAGTACAAGTTACGGTGTGAGTTTGACGAACAAGGTAGGAAACTATGAAGATGAAATTAGGTACTTTTTGGTTTTACTTTTGAACAGAGGGATGGGTTGGGCAATTTTTTAATTCGTCAGGGAGTGAGTTCCAAAGACTAGGCTCTTTTATTTCTATGGAGTGTTTGCACTGAATTAGTCTGACGCTGTCAATCACCCTAAATTAGATACCAAGTCACATTGGCATAGATGGTATGAAACGGCAGACTCACTAGCAAAAACTGCCACTGCTCTACCTGTTGTACAGGTTCAAATACCTCCAAGTTTTTCACAGATTAAGGAGCAAATCAACAAGAAAATACTGTACTTCCAACTATAAAAAGTCGCCACAGAGCCAAAGTAGCAGAAGGAAGATCCACTGCGATATGGTACGAACAAGCCACTGGGTACTACTCTTTCAAGCCTGACAAAAAGATATCCAGAGACATTGCAGTAGCCATACACAGACTCAGACTTAGTTAGTGCTGGTGAGAGGTAATAAACTCAATAGTTAAGGAGTGTCATATCTGTGGAAAAGGTGCAGAGGCGCCACTATTGCACTACGTACTGGAATGTGAAGCAACTGAAGCCCTGCGCTCAACATTAATCCAACAAGAGAAGTTACATTAGATGCAAATTCCACCGCGACTACAACGATTAGAAAAGCAGTTGAAGAATGGGAACACATTAGTGAACATTGTGCATCTTTGTCCGCTACCAAGATAATGTTATTAAAACAAAACGCTAAAATAAACCAGTGCGGTAAAAAAAAGAAGCGAAAAAGAAACAGGTGTGGGGGGAGGAGGAAACCCGTCCTCCATTTAAACCTTTGACCCATATATCACAGTAACAAGGTTATCGGGAATAACTGAACTCAGTTACGGGCTCACCATAGTCCGTGCTACATAGACATTTCGTTCTGAGCAGCTAAATCTGAAACAACAACACCAGCAACTTTGTAAGCTCAGTATAGCTGTGTTAGTACTCTGTTACACTAACAGTGTACTCTGTTACACTAACAGTGTACTCTGTTACACTAACAGTGTACTCTGTTACACTAACAGTGTACTCTGTTACACTAACAGTGTACTCTGTTACACTAACAGTGTACTCTGTTACACTAACAGTGTACTCTGTTACACTAACAGTGTACTCTGTTACACTAACAGTGTACTCTGTTACACTAACAGTGTACTCTGTTACACTAACAGTGTACTCTGTTACACTAACAGTGTACTCTGTTACACTAACAGTGTACTCTGTTACACTAACAGTGTACTCTGTTACACTAACAGTGTACTCTGTTACACTAACAGTGTACTCTGTTACACTAACAGTGTACTCTGTTACACTAACAGTGTACTCTGTTACACTAACAGTGTACCCTGTTACACTAACAGTGTACCCTGTTACACTAACAGTGTACCCTGTTACACTAACAGTGTACCCTGTTACACTAACAGTGTACCCTGTTACACTAACAGTGTACCCTGTTACACTAACAGTGTACCCTGTTACACTAACAGTGTACCCTGTTACACTAACAGTGTACCCTGTTACACTAACAGTGTACCCTGTTACACTAACAGTGTACCCTGTTACACTAACAGTGTACCCTGTTACACTAACAGTGTACCCTGTTACACTAACAGTGTACCCTGTTACACTAACAGTGTACCCTGTTACACTAACAGTGTACCCTGTTACACTAACAGTGTACTCCTGAAGATGTCACATTTCTGACGAAACGATAACAATAACAATAGAAAGACTAAGTGATCTAGTATATAGTAAATACGTATATTCATAAATAAGTTTGTTGCGCATAGTTCAAATAAATATACTTGCATGTTAGTTGCTTAGTTCAACAAATAGAACCAAAGTGTTACATTCACAAATTATTAACAATGTATCGTAGTATTGATCGGAGGAACATGATCGTTATCTGAATGTGTTCTGTGTTTTGCAGGAGGACGCTGTAGAATGTGGGGCCAGAGGTAAGCATGAGTCTCTCTCACACACCACGCGAATAAATGCTAATTTTAAAGGATTTGTCACGTTAACAGTTTATACTCATTGTAGCACATGTATTATAAAATATATTCTTAGTAAAACCAAATAACTTGCTAGATTATGTAATTCCAAGCGATGAAATATTCTCTTGGTAGAGATCATCTTCTTGACTGATGATCTACAATACAATGACCTACAATGACCTACAATACCTCGAGTCTTACCTTACTGACAGGCTCCAATATGTTTCTGTGAATAATACAATTTCTCCCACCCTACCCATCAACATTGGTGTTCCTCAGGGCAGCATACTTGGCCCTCTCCTCTTTCTCATCTACATTAATGACCTTCCAAATGCCTCCCAACACCTCAAACCAATTCTATTTGCTGACGACACAACCTTCATTTACTCCAGTCCTGACCCTCTTGCTCTAAATGCCACAGTAAATACTGAGCTAAATAAAGTCCATCTTTGGCTAACTGCCAACAAACTCACCCTTAACATTGACAAAACTTTCTATATTCTGTTTGGCAATAAATCCTCTAGTCATATAAATCTCAAAATAAACAATACCCAAATTTGTAACAAATTAGATGGCAAATTCCTTGGCATTCTCATTGACCACAAGCTGAATTTCCAGGGACACATTCTAAATATATCAAAAAAAGTTTCAAAAACTGTTGGCATTCTTTCTAAGATCAGATATTATGTACCACGCCCTGCTCTGGTGACTCTCTATTACTCCCTTATCTATCCATATCTCAACTATGGTATTTGTGCTTGGGGTTCTACTACCCAAAATCACTTACGTCCTCTAATTACCCAACACAAAGCCGCTATTAGGACAATATCCAACTCTGGCCCCAGACATCACTCGGTACCCCTACTCAAATCTCTGAATATGTTAGATATTAAGTCACTGCACATTCTCTCATGTGTATTATACATATATAAAACGCTAAACTATAATGCCAATCATGATCTTAAAAGCTTCATAGAAGGTTGTAACAGAACCCATGAGCACCACACCAGAAATAAATACAGTTTTGATATTCCTAGAGTACGTCTTAATCAAACTAGAAATGCTCTGCAAATCAAGGGGCCCAGAATGTGGAATGACCTTCCCAACCATGTTAAAGACTGTACCTCTCTCAACCAGTTTAAGATAAAAACTAAACACTACCTAATAAATTCCCTGTAATCTACCTCACTCCTCTATTGTCAACCCATGTCTGTTATTTTTTTTATTTTTTTTTTAATCAACACTGTCAACCTATTGTATTTGTGCTGCTTTTTCAGTCATGTTCCCCCTTTTTTTATCTTTATTTGTATTTGTTCTCAACACTTTTTATTCTTTATGCTCAATTAGTATTAAGTTCTAGATATTAATGTTTTTCTTGCCCGAAACGCATTGCGTAATAGTGGCTTTAGGCATTGTATGTACTAGCTCTATCTATATATCAATCCATTAATGTAACATCACTTGTATGTATATACCTTACCTGAATAAACATCTGAATCTGAATCTGAATCTGACTGGATTATATCTTGAGTGTGTAGAGGATCTTTACAAGTAGACTGTAGGTATGAGGAGGTAGTGGAGCACTAAGCGTATGTCTCTCAGTTCCAGGACCCCCCACCAACGTGAATGTGACCACCAACTTCCACAGACAACTTGATGTATCATGGTCTAAGCCGGCCTCGTCTGCCATGGAGACGTCTGTCTTAGAGACGCCTGTCATGACCTTGAATTACTCAACGTCGAACACTACCGAACTTACTACACACGCGTCACCACCATCTGTCGTTGACCAATACTCTGTGTTTTGGACTAATGTCAACAGTAGTTGGGCAAATGACAACACAACTCAACTACAGTACAGCATAAGGAATCTGGCTGACTGCACATTATACCACGTTTTCGTCCGCGCCTGGGAGAACGGTGTGATGGGCCAGCCATCTGCCACCATCCCACAAACCACACTTCTTAATGGTAAGCTTCCTGCTCTCTCTCCTTACTAGGTGATCCACTATTTTTGCTGCTAGTTGGGATTATTCTATACTTTGAAGGGTAACTTACCTGAAACTACAACAGAAGCTTTATTTGTAAGTGATTAAATTAATATAAATCGTTACAGTTGTGGCTGAAGTGAACAGCTGTATGAACACTTGTAGCTGAAGTGAACAGCTACAAGTGTTGTAGCTGAAGTGGACAGGTGTACAAACACTTGTAGCTGAAGTGAACTGCTGTATAAACACTTGTAGCTGAAGTGAACAGCTGTATAAACACTTGTAGTTGAAGTGAACAGCTGTATAAACTTGTAGTTGAAGTGAACAGCTGTATAAACACGTGTAGCTGAAGTGAACAGCTGTATAAACACTTGTAGCTGAAGTGAACAGCTGTATAAACACTTGTAGTTGAAGTGAACAGCTGTATAAACACTTGTAGTTGAAGTGAACAGCTGTATAAACACTTGTAGTTGAAGTGAACAGCTGTATAAACACTTGTAGCTGAAGTGAACAGCTGAATAAACACTTGTAGCTGAAGTGAACAGCTGTTCAAACACTTGTAGCTGAAGTGAACAGGTGTACAGCTGAACAAACACGTGTAACTGGTAATGATAGCGTGTGAGACATATTGACAGAGTTATAACAAAATTAGTAGAGCAAGAATACAATTTTTTTTATCTTTATTTAATAAAATACAATATAAATCATATACACTATACATAAATTTTACAAGGCAATATAACAATACATATATATAGCATATATGTATATATACATTACATATATATAGCAGTATAATTCTCAGTAAACAAGGGTTTCATATCATCACCGAGTATGAGCCGTAAACCCCAAATGTTATACCTGATCCTGTCTCGCAAGAACTTCAGTATTTTGTCTACTGAGTAACCCTCCTGTCTCCCTGTCCACACACAGTAACCCTCCTGTCTACCTGTCCACACACAGTAACCCTCCTGTCTACCTGTCCACACACAGTAACCCTCCTGTCTACCTGTCCACACACAGTAACCCTCCTGTCTCCCTGTCCACACACAGTAACCCTCCTGTCTACCTGTCCACACACAGTAACCCTCCTGTCTACCTGTCCACACACAGTAACCCTCCTGTCTACCTGTCCACACACAGTAACCCTCCTGTCTACCTGTCCACACACAGTAACCCTCCTGTCTACCTGTCCACACACAGTAACCCTCCTGTCTACCTGTCCACACACAGTAACCCTCCTGTCTACCTGTCCACACACAGTAACCCTCCTGTCTACCTGTCCACACACAGTAACCCTCCTGTCTACCTGTCCACACACAGTACCCTCCTGTCCACACCTAACCCTCCTGTCTACCTGTCCACACACAGTAACCCTCCTGTCTACCTGTCCACACACAGTAACCCTCCTGTCTACCTGTCCACACACAGTAACCCTCCTGTCTACCTGTCCACACACAGTAACCCTCCTGTCTACCTGTCCACACACAGTAACCCTCCTGTCTACCTGTCCACACACAGTAACCCTCCTGTCTACCTGTCCACACACAGTAACCCTCCTGTCTACCTGTCCACACACAGTAACCCTCCTGTCTACCTGTCCACACACAGTAACCCTCCTGTCTACCTGTCCACACACAGTAACCCTCCTGTCTACCTGTCCCCACACAGTAACCCTCCTGCCTGACTATCCACACACAGTAACCCTCCAGCCTGCCTATCCACACACAGTAACCCTCCTGCCTGACTATCCACACACAGTAACCCTCCTGCCTGCCTATCCGCACACAGTAACCCTCCTGCCTGACTATCCACACACAGTAACCCTCCAGCCTGCCTATCCACACACAGTAACCCTCCAGCCTGACTATCCACACACAGTAACCCTCCAGCCTGCCTATCCACACACAGTAACCCTCCAGCCTGACTATCCACACACAGTAACCCTCCAGCCTGCCTATCCACACACAGTAACCCTCCAGCCTGACTATCCACACACAGTAACCCTCCAGCCTGACTATCCACACACAGTAACCCTCCAGCCTGCCTATCCACACACAGTAACCCTCCTGCCTGCCTATCCGCACACAGTAACCCTGCTGCCTGCCTATCCACACACAGTAACCCTCCTGCTTGCCTATCCACACACAGTAACCCTGCTGCCTGACTATCCACACACAGTAACCCTCCTGCCTGCCTATCCACACACAGTAACCCTCCTGCCTGCCTATCCACACACAGTAACCCTGCTGCCTGCCTATCCACACACAGTAACCCTGCTGCCTGACTATCCACACACAGTAACCCTCCTGCCTGCCTATCCACACACAGTAACCCTGCTGCCTGACTATCCACACACAGTAACCCTCCTGCCTGACTATCCACACAAAGTAACCCTGCTGCCTGCCTATCCACACACAGTAACCCTGCTGCCTGCCTATCCACACACAGTAACCCTGCTGCCTGCCTATCCACACACAGTAACCCTCCTGCCTGTCTATCCACAAACAAAATGTAATCAGAAAGTAGCATAATTATTGTATTCTTAATTTTCTTGCATTTTATGTCAATATGAAACATTAAAAACCTCATTAACTCCACTCTAATACTTGGTCCACATAAAGCTTTAAGAGTGTCTCTAATCCAGTTTACAAGAACAACTTTCTGCTTACAGAAATAAAATATATACATATTATTCTCAATTACAGTACATTGGTCACACCTATTGTTGTCCTTAATGCCCCAACACCAACAACCTATCATTAGTAGGGAGGGTCTCATGAATATAGCCATACAACAGCTCACGTTGTCTTGGGGCAATACATTTAACATGAAGGTTTGCCCATATTACTTGCCAGCTAAAGAGTGGATATGCCTCCTCTATTCTAGGAACTATATTTGGTAGTGTAACATCATATACCTGTTTACTGTTCATCATTAAAAAACCTTCAATATTACAAATCTGCCAGAGAACATCAATTGCACATGAATAAAAATGCGGTGAAATAAAGGCAAGGTCAGTATACTCTGGCATATGTATCAAGGTCAGTATACTCTGGCATATGTATCAAGGTCAGTATACTCTGACATATGTATCAAGGTCAGTATACTCTGGCATATGTATCAAGGTCAGTATACTCTGGCATATGTATCAAATAGCTAACACATAATTTACAAAAGTAATGTCCTATCGCATTTACACTATTCCTCTGCATTATCTCCTTTCTAAATAAAGATAACACATAAGATTGCCAATGACTTATGGTACACAAATAGAGAGAAAGATTTGGGGGTTGATATCACGCCAAACCTGTTCCCAGAGGCCCACATCAAAAGAATATCATCAGCGGCATATGCTAGACTGGCCAACATAAGAACTCCCTTTAGAAACTTGTGTAAGGAATCTTTCAGAACCCTGTATACCACGTATGTAAGACCAATCCTGGAGTATGCAGCTCCAGCCTGGAGTCCCTACCTAGTTAAACACAAGACAAAGCTAGAGAAGATTCAGCGGTATGCCACCAGGCTCGTCCCGGAACTGAGAGGAATGAGCTACGAGGAAAGGCTAAAGGAGCTGAACCTCACGTCCCTGGAAAACAGAAGAGTAGGGGGAGACATGATAACCACCTACAAAATTCTCAGGGGAATTGACAGGGTGGACAAAGACAAACTCTTCAGCACAGGTGGAACACGAACAAGGGGACACAGGTGGAAACTTAGTACCCAGATGAGCCACAGAGACGTTAGAAAGAATTTTTTCAGTGTCAGAGTAGTTAATAAATGAAATGCTTTAGGCAGTGATGTGGTGGAGGCTGACTCCATACACAGTTTCAAATGTAGATATGATAGAGCCCAGTAGGCTCAGGAATCTGTACACCTGTTGATTGATAGTTGAGAGGCGGGACCAAAGAGCCAAAGCTCAACCCCCGCAAGCGCAATTAGGTAAGTACAATTAGGTAAGTACATTCAGTATTCCTATTCCACCGTTTTTCTTACCTTTACATAGAGTAGTCCGTTTAGTTGGTTGGTATCTACCATACCATACATATCTAAAATAGTTTTGTCGATCTCCATAACACTTTTCTTGTCAATTGGAAACCTGTGAGACAAATACCACACTTTAGACAAAATTTTGCAATTGATTATTACAGCCTTCTGAAACAAGGTTAATATCCTATTTGACAACATATTCGTAGCTACTATTATATTCCCACATAGTACTTGCCAATTCGTAACCAATGTTGTTCCATATGTTTTACACCATCAAATCCCAAGAGCTTTAATAGACTCCACAACCTTGAACCATGAACCTGTCCAGGTAACCTTATTACGCCAACTGCCAAGACCCATCATACACGTTTTGTTCTTGTTAATAACAGCACCTGTCGCTCGTTCAAAGTTGTCTAACTCATTCTGAACATTCACCACCGAGTCTTCTGTCGACACAAAAATAGTTGTATCGTCTGCATAACCAACAACAGGAAGTGTCATAGCATTAGGAAGACGAGGTGGAACAATAAAGTCATTGCTTTTTATCGCCAAGTACAGTGGCTCTTGAAATATAACATACAAAATCATTGAAAGGGGACATCCCTGACGTACAGATCGTTCAACTGAAAAAGGTTTACTTAAGACTCCATTGATACAGACGCTGCTCCGACACTCTTTATATAGCATACGGATCCAATCAATAAATTCCTGTGCCACTCCTACCCTATCCAATATGTCTAATACAAACTGAACATCAACACAGTCAAAAGCTTTCGACCAGTCCAGGCTTATCATGGAGGAAGGAACAAATACAATGTGAAAGATAACTAACATCAAAATTGACAACATAAAGATATTATTATTGGAAATTATTATACATAAAGTTGTGCAGCCTGATCAAGCCAGCTGTAATGTCTTCACACGTGAGGGTTTTGGTGTAAGGGGCCTTCTGACAGCCAGATTTTGCCACTCCGTCAAAAATACAACTGTTTTGCCTAACCAGAAATTCACAAACCCAAGCAACCCGACTAACCTATCGAGGCCAATGCCTAGAATAACGTCAATATTACGATGCTTTCAAGTGTCTAATACATCACAGTTTTAACGAATTTGTCAATTTCGTTAAAAAAGGTGAAATATTAGATGATGGGAATGGGAGTTTACCTTAAAAGTCAAATGTTTAGAAATGCAGCTGTGCTCACCAGACCAGCTGTGTTCACCAGACCAGCTGTGTTCACCAGACCAGCTGTGTTCACCAGACCAGCTGTGTTCACCAGACCAGCTGTGTTCACCAGACCAGCTGTGTTCACCAGACCAGCTGTGTTCACCAGACCAGCTGTGTTCACCAGACCAGCTGTGTTCACCAGACCAGCTGTGTTCACCAGACCAGCTGTGTTCACCAGACCATCTGTGCTCACCAGACCAGCTGCATGATCCGCCTGGGTAACCTGTTTAGCGACCCATCCATTATTACTGCTCTTCCATATTAATATAAATTATCTTAACTTTAGGACTCAAGAGTCTTATGACTTCCAGCAAGTACTAAACTTCTTATTTTTTATATCAAGTTGATCTTTTTTGTTTCGCTTTGTTAAATTGCATTCGTCTCTATGTTTCAGATGCCGAAAACCTTGTCATGACTCAATCTGGAAGTGACGTGACAGTGAGTTGGACGTGGGAGCCGCCTGGTACATGTGGAGAACCGGCTGTGTTCAATGTGTCTTGGAATGGAAGTAATAGCTATGCCGTTGTTACTGAGACTGAGTACACCATTACAGGTGTAATAGTTGAAGAGGGGTTCATGGTGTGTGTGTTAACCTCTTGTAGTAACTGCACAAGTCAACTGACCTGCGTGAAAGATTTTCAATCTCCAAAAAATTCAGGTATTGCATTTTAACCCGCTTCAAACACTTCAGGTATTGTATTTTTACTCCAGTTACGTTCCACAAAATTTTGTTGTATTTCAAGTTCAGGCAAGTTGGGTGTCCAGGATACAGATACATCACGAATTTATCCGGTGTACTATTTTTAATATCTTAATTTCTTTCATGTTTCCATTATATATCTCAAATATATATATATATATTTTTGCACCCATGAGAGAGAATGTCAGTTTATCTGTCTGTCCAAAGTTGGAGGCCCAGACGCTTGAGTCTAGCCTCTCTCAAATAGACAGGGGAAATGGTCTGGGGTGCGGGACGGACATAGGCAGGTAGGGTCAGGCTTAAGTTAAATGTTTTAAGGAATATTAGCAATAATAAACACACCCCCTAGGCCATTTTCAAAGAGTGTTTGATGGAGTCAGTTGTGAAATATGGCGTGTGATTAACGTGAAGTTGCTACTGAAAAGAAGCAACTTCAAAGAAGGAGAAGATAACGGAAAAGCAGAGCATCTGAGAGCCATTCATTTGTTTCAGTCTTTCTTAAGGTGCGATGCGGGGGAGGGGGGAAAGGACGAAGAGATAGGTAGATAGAGAGATAACTAGATAGATAACTAGGTAGATAGAGATAGATCTTTAGAAACGTCCATGTATATTACGCCTACTGGAAGCTGTTTGTCTCCAAAAATGTAAGCAAAAGTAAAGCAGGATATATTTTTGATAAAACTATGTTGAGTTGATGTTACTATATTAAGCATTGTGAGATGGTAAGTGATTCTCTCACTTAGGATTTTCTCCGTAAGCTTGCAAATATATGAGGTTAGGCTGATCGGCCGGTAATTTTCTGCTGAGCTTTTTCTGCCTTTTTTTCAAAACAGAGTGACATTTGCATATTTTCAATCTAGGAGGCACTAGATGGGAAATATACAAATTCGCAGAACCCCCCCCCCCCCTCCCTGGTCCAGAGATTTTCTGAATAAGAGTTTCAGTGGATGACAGTTTCTGTATCAGCTCCTTTATAACTTTAGATTAAATTCCATCCACACCTGGGCCTTTTGAGTCCTTTACTGTGTCAGTGCTCTTATTAATTGTTTCGCACATAATGGGAATATCCCTTAATTCTTTCTCTTCTAATCTTTTAGTCTTTCTAATCTTCAAGTGTTCTAGTCTTGTCTTCCTCTCTTTTTAGTACGAACACTGATGTAAATATTAATTCACAGTGTTGGCTGCCTTTTTATTCTCATCGTCAATTGTAACTTTGTTCGTCTCATCTTTTAATGGTCTTAACGAGTCTTTATCTTAGTTTTTCTTCTTTTATATCATAAAGACTTCGTATCTTTATGTTCTCAGCACATTTTCGTACATAGTTCATTTTGGCTAATCTGATTTCCTGAGTGGCAGAATTTACTACCTTCTGTATATTACATTCAATGTGATTCCTGATAGATAATACTTCTTCCACTGGTTTTATAACATTAAGGTTCTTTTTTTATTGGTCTGTGTAGCCTAACAATCAACATAACATCATGATGTTAATATTTTATATTTTAGCAAGTAATGCACCAAGTACATTATTCAAAGTACCAAATTGCCTAAACAGTATTTCAAATCAAAGCGTCAAACGCTAAATAATTTATTTATTTATTTATTTATTTATTTATTCATTCATATTCAAGAAAGTACACCTGGTTGAGAAAGCACATACACTGGTAGTTGTTACAGTCGTGCAAAGTCTGCTAACAATAAATGTGTTAATAAGTACATTGTAGCAGAATATTATTTCAACATGATGGCTACATTATAAATAGATAGAATAGATTATGGTGATGAAGTTGCATGTCTCAAGCACTAGGCTGCGTTAGTGGGTAGCACAAGATACAATGTGAGTATGGAGCACAAGGTGGGAACTATTAGGATGAATTTAAGTACTTTTCGGCTTTATTATTGAATAAACTATAGGTTGGAATTTTGCTTTTAATTCATTAGGGAGTGAGTTCTGTGTTCTGGGTCATCACTTACATATATTAACAAATCAGGAACAATTGGGGGACCTTTCACAAGCCACTGGCTTACTGTCCCCGTCTAGGCCACTAGAGAAATGGTAAAGGTAACATCCAGGGAAGGACCGGGAGACGATATACTCCCTCATATTTATTTATTTATTTATTTATTTATTTATATACAAGAAGGTACATTAGGTTTGTGAGAATACATAGACTAGTATTTACACTCTTGTAAAGCCACTACTACGCACAGCGTTTCGGGCAGTTCCTTAAACTAACAGATAATTTTAAGTTGGTAAATTCTAGCAGAATTAATAAAATGATAACAGATACATTGCAAGAAAAAAATGAGATGAGAGAGATTAGTAAGTATATTAAACCACATTGGTATATTAAAGCTCTGATTGATTACATTGACAGCTTGATTGGTAATTTAAACAAGATTAAGACACCATACAGCAAATTGATAGCACATATAAGAAGACAGCAATGATCACAATGGTAAAGATGTTCAGATTGGGTACATAAAGACTGGGAGATTGGGTAGCAATAGATACAGTGTAATTTTAAAGCAACAAGGTAAAAAACTATGAAGATGAAATTAGGTACTTTTTAGTTTTGTTTTTGAATGACGCAAAAGTTGGACAACTTTTCAATTCATTAGGGAGCGAGTCCCATAGACTGGGTCCCTTTATTTGCATAGAGTGTTTACACAGATTAAGTTTGACCCTGGGGATATCAAAGAGATATTTATTTCTGGTGTGGTGATAATGGGTCCTATTACATCTGTCCAGGGAGAGTTTCAGAGCATGGTTTGCATGTAAGAACAGGGTTTTGTAAATGTAGTTGACACAAGAGAATGTGTGGAGTGAGATTATGTTTAGCATGTTTAGGGAGTTAAACAAGGGGGCTTTGTGTTGTCTGAAAGCAGAATTTGTTATTATTCTGATAGCAGATTTTTGCTGAGTGATGATGGACTTGAGGTGGTTTGCAGTGGTTGAACCCCATGCACAGATACCATAATTAAGATAGGGATAGATTAGTGCATAATATAGAGAGATGAGAGCAGAGTTAGGTACATAATATCTGATTTTGGAGAGTATACCAACTGTTTTAGAGACTTTCTTAGTTATGTGTTGTATGTGGGTGCTGAAGTTGAGTCTCTTGTCTAGGAATAGGCTAAGAAACTTTCCATCATTTTTATTGCTAATGTTTACATTGTCTATCTGAAGCTGAATTGCATTTGTAGATTGTAGAGAGGAGCGGGGAGGGAGAAGTGGATAGGCCAAAGTCGCAACACTATGCTAATTTGTTAAGCTGTAGATATGTTTCAGATCTTCCCCTGATACTCGGGCTCAGTATAGGGATCCCTGTTGCTGTCATCATTGTCTGCCTCGCTGTCTTTCTGTACTGGAAGCAACACAAGAAACAGCCGGTGTATCAAGTGGGTGCTGGGGTAAGTTTGGTCTCTGGCCACGAACCATAAAGTCTACGTATTAATATGAAACAGTAACTATATAACATAATCTTACTTGTCCTAGGCCTGAATAAGGGATTGTAAGCCTGATAATACCCCCAGCTTACGCCTAATTTACGACATATATGTACTATAATAGGCTACTACATATATATATATATATATATATATATATATATATATATATATATATATATATATATATATATATATATATATATATATATATATATAAGCAAGTTTTTAAATATTATTTGGAACATAATATTTTCTGTTTCACTTATGTATCATATTAGATATATTAAATAAAAATACTGTAGAGCTAACAATTATCTATATGATTATTTCAGAACCCCAACAATCGAATAGGCTTAGACAACATGGGCTTCAATTGCTCGCCCAGTACAGTAAGCTTGATAAGACTCACCCAGTACAGTAAGCTTGATAAGACTCACCCAGTACAGTAAGCTTGATAAGACTCGCCCAGTACAGTAAGCTTGACAAGACCTTCCTAGTATGGTAAGCTTGACAAGACCTGCCTAGTACGGTAAGCTTGATAACCCCTCTCCCCTGTCCCCTCGTCCTCCCCACCATTCCCCACTTCCCCGTCCTTCCATCGTCCCTGGTAATGACTATATAGGTGCAGAACCATGTCAACACTGTCATTCCACATGTGTGGCTTACTCTACTGTTTGTATTGCTTAATAGTACAGTAATTGTTCTCATTATTTCTAAACAGGAAGAAATGTTGAGGAATGAATTTCAAACCAAATTTACCCAGCAAGAATACAAGAAGCCTACGACGCAAGCATTGCGTCACGCAGACAGGAACAGATATGCCGACATACTACCATGTAAGTGTGGCTGGGGTTGGTGGCTGTCTTGTCACTCACTTATGACTACTTGTGTACATGTGTACTTCGCCTTGCTAAGCCTTGCCTTGCTATAGTTACATCCATTGATTACGATGTAACATATATATCTTAAATATTCATTATATGATAGCATTACAAAAATTATTTAAATATGATTCAGTATGTAAATTACACCTATTATATCTTAACTGTATGAAATACACTGTCACCTCACGGATCATTTAATCATGATTTATACATTGTAACTACAGTAGTAACCTTTGTTCAGTAAAACATTTACAATGTCCGTCCCGCCGCGCCGGTCCTTCTGGCCACTCTCCAACACATAGCTGAAGCAGTCATCTTCCCATAAGACCAGTTGACCTCAGTCACCCAACGGAACCATTGTCATATTGGAGGTAAAATGTGTTGTGGTCTTTCCCAAATAAATCCCCCCATCCATCAGGACTTGTCGATAGAGCGAGACTTCGCTTCTTTGCATGGTCGGCGTTCGATCCCCGATGGTCAAAGTTGTTGGACACTTCCTCCATTCCATCCTCTACCCCGGAGTTAATCAGTCGTTGTGGGTTGCCTCCTGGGGCAGGTTAACAGTAGGCCTAGGAGGAACTACCACATGAAACTACAAGGCAGTAAGTGGAACAAGACTAGAAGGGACCATAAAGAGATATAGACTTCACTTTACCATAGAGGTAGCCACTCCAGCAGTCATCCACACCACCGTGCCCCCTTCCCCGCTCATGCAAATTTTCCTATACAGTAAAAACACATTCGCTACCTCCTTAGTGAATTTCCGCCGGCAAATGAGCCGAAGGAACGTTAGGAAAGTTCTGGAGCCCAGTATGGGGAGTTAACAAGTGGAATGCTCTAAAAGGAGAAGTTGCGGAAGCCACCTCAAGCCACAACTTTAGGGCCCGATTCAAGAAACAATTTGAAAGTCAGAGTAGTTAAATTGTAACGGAACAGGTGCACAAGGGTGGTGGGCGGGGCATATAGATCTATACCCCACTTCCCCGTAGGCACAGATAGGTGGGTACTTCCACCCAGGGTCACAACCTGCCATCTCAATTAATAGGTCGCGTTTTGAAAGTATGTATACATATATATACCAGAGACCATAAGACCTATCTTTATTGGAGCATCTCTCTGTGCTCTAAAGAAAAAGGATGGAGGGATCAGACCAATACCTATGGGCAATTCCCTCCGACGTCTCGTCGCAAAGGCTGCTGCAAGAACAGTTAGTGATGCGGCCAACATGCTAAAGCCAAAACAGCCCGGGTTCGGCATTCCACAAGGGTGCGAGGCGGCAGCTCGAGCTTTCGTCGCTAACATCACAAACGAAAAGGCCCTGATCAAACTAGAATTAATAAATGCCTTCAATTTGGTGCTGAGGGATGCTGTACTCCGTGCGGTTCATAGTCATTTCCCTTCCCTCTACCCTTTGTACATTCATGCTACAGTATGGATCTTAAGCTACTTTTTGGCGAATATGAAATTGACTCGCGAGAAGGCGTCCAACAGGGTGACCCCCTTGCTCCTCTCCTTTTCTGCTTAGTCATCAAACAAGTCACAGAGGTCCTGTCCAGCGAACTTAACATCTGGTTCTTGGATGACGGTACACAAGCGGGTCCCAAGACTCCCTCTTGGAGGACATCAGAAAAATCCAGGAGCAAGGTGCAGTTTTAGGCCTCAGCCTGAACCCTTCTAAGTGTAAAATAATATGTTCCAACCAGGGCATCATAGAGAGAATAGAGGGTGTTCTGCCAAATATCCATATAACTAAACCTGAAGACAGCACACTCCTAGGAGCTCCAAAGTTTAACAAGTATGACTTGTTACTGAAATCAATGCTAGAAAAAGTCCTCAACCTCTCTCTTGATGACCTACAGTGGAAACAAGCCTCTCTTCCAGTAAGACTTGGGGGCCTCGGAGTTAGAACAGCAACACAAATCGCTGTACCAGCCTTCCTGTCCTCCTCCTCAGTATTCGACGACCTTGTGAAGGACATTCTACCTGCCTACTTACATCAGGTGACAGGCGTACATGATCCCAATTCTACACGCTGTGCCACAGAGTGGGCCTCTCGTGCAGGCCAATCATCTCAACCACCATCCCCAAAAGCCCACAAGCAATCCAGCTGGGATGGCCCCATTGTAGACCAAGTTCTGCAGAGTGTCTGGGTGCTGCAACAACACAACACGACATTGCTCGCCTCACAGCAGTAGCAGCACCACATGCAGGGGATTTCCTGTTAGCAACCCCAATGTCGGCAACTGGCACGCGTCTCACACCACACGCCCTCCGAATTGCTGTGGCCCTCCGCCTTGCTGTACCAATCCTCACCAAATATAGGTGTATTTGCGGCGAGGTATATATATTTTTTCTTATGAAGTGATAAAGCTATTCATTTCATTATGTATGGGCTAATTTTTTTAAATTTGAGCCAAAACTAACGTAGATATGACCGAACCTAACCAACCCTGCCTAACCTAACCTAACCTATCTTAACCTAACTTAAACTAACAAAACTAAATCAATAATTTATGTTCTTAATATAATATAATAATTAATATTTAAAATAAACCAATAGAAAACAATTTATTGAAAATAAAGAAAATCACTCGGCCTATTAGGCAAATCAGGCCTTGCATAGTAGACCGAGAAGTGCGTTCTGGCTACTAGGTACGTTCTGGCTACTGGCTACATATATATATATATATATATATATATATATATATATATATATATATATATATATATATATATATATATATATATATATATATATATATATATATATATATATATATATATATTGTTGGGGAAATAGCCTCGGCTACCAACGTCTTTTGTACGGTCACGGTTGGTCAATGGTTAAGGTACCAGTTACGCCAGTTGCATAGTTCTCCTGACTATATGGTGAGGTCTGGGTCTGAACGTAGGCAAGGTACTGTATGGTGAGGTTTGGGTCTGAGTGTAGGCAAGGTGCTGTATAGTGAGGTTTGGGTCTGAGTGTAGGCAAGGTGCAGAATGGGCGAGGTCTGGGTCTGAGTGTAGGCAAGGTACTGTATGGTGAGGTCTGGGTCTGAGTGTAGGCAAGGTGCTGTATAGTGAGGTTTGGGTCTGAGTGTAGGCAAGGTGCTGTATAGTGAGGTTTGGGTCTGAGTGTAGGCAAGGTGCAGAATGGGCGAGGTCTGGGTCTGAGTGTAGGCAAGGTGCTGTATAGTGAGGTTTGGGTCTGAGTGTAGGCAAGGTGCTGTATAGTGAGGTTTGGGTCTGAGTGTAGGCAAGGTGCTGTATAGTGAGGTTTGGGTCTGAGTGTAGGCAAGGTGCAGAATGGGCGAGGTCTGGGTCTGAGTGTAGGCAAGGTGCTGTATAGTGAGGTTTGGGTCTGAGTGTAGGCAAGGTGCTGTATAGTGAGGTTTGGGTCTGAGTGTAGGCAAGGTGCTGTATAGTGAGGTTTGGGTCTGAGTGTAGGCAAGGTGCAGAATGGGCGAGGTCTGGGTCTGAGTGTAGGCAAGGTGTGGTATGGTGAGGTCTAGTATGGTGAGGTCTAGGTCTGAGTGTAGGCAAGGTGTGGTATGGTGAGGTCTAGTATGGTGAGGTCTAGGTCTGAGCGTAGGCAAGGTACTGTATGGTGAGGTCTGGGTCTGAGTGTAGGCAAGGTACTGTATGGTGAGGTCTGGGTCTGAGTATAGGCAAGGTACTGTATGGTGAGGTCTGGGTCTGAGTATAGGCAAGGTACTGTATGGTGAGGTCTGGGTCTGAGTATAGGCAAGGTACTGTATGGTGAGGTCTGGGTCTGAGTATAGGCAAGGTGCTGTATGGTGAGGTCTGGGTCTGAGTGTAGGCAAGGTGCTGTATGGTGAGGTCTGGGTCTGAGTGTAGGCAAGGTACTGTATGGTGAGGTCTGGGTCTGAGTATAGGCAAGGTGCTGTATGGTGAGGTCTGGGTCTGAGTGTAGGCAAGGTGCTGTAAGGTGAGGTCTGGGTCTGAGTGTAGGCAAGGTACTGTATGGTGAGGTCTGGGTCTGAGTGTAGGCAAGGTACTGTATGGTGAGGTCTGGGTCTGAGTGTAGGCAAGGTACTGTATGGTGAGGTCTGGGTCTGAGTATAGGCAAGGTACTGTATGGTGAGGTCTGGGTCTGAGTGTAGGCAAGGTACTGTATGGTGAGGTCTGGGTCTGAGCATAGGCAAGGGAGCGAAATTGTTACTCTGTATAATTAGGGTGGCCCTATTTTTAATGTAAGGGAGTGTAAGTATCTGTACGAGTGGTCGATCATTCACCGTGGAGCTCCCTGGCTTATATTTGGCCGACATTCACACCCATACAAGGAAACACTCTTTAATTCTCAGAAAAAATGCTATTAAGAAATATGTAAATAGAATATTGTAAAAATACAGTGGCTGTGTTTAGTTGCAAATTTAAGACTGTGTTATGTGCAGCCTGGGTTTAACATAAGAGCGCAGGCAGTGTTTATGGTTAGCGGAAATTAATTACTTATCTATAATGATAACCTTTCTGTACATTGTAGTTGATGACACCCTTGTGAGAGTGAAGCATGTGGAGTACATCAACGCCTCGTATGTCCTGGTGAGTATGTTGGTGTCCACTGTAGGTGGGTGTTTCTGTGTGATTACCTATCATTGTCCACTGTAGGTGGGTGTTTGTGTGTGATTACCTATCATTGTCCACTGTAGGTGGGTGTTTGTGTGTGATTACCTATCATTGTCCACTGTAGGTGGGTGTTTGTGTGTCATTACCCATCATTGTCCACTGTAGGTGGGTGTTTGTGTGTGATTACCTATCATTGTCCACTGTAGGTGGGTGTTTGTGTGTCATTACCCATCATTGTCCACTGTAGGTGGGTGTTTGTGTGTCATTACCCATCATTGTCCACTGTAGGTGGGTGTTTGTGGGTTCATGATATCTCATTTATGTTTTCAATTCTTAAAAGTTTCTTACAAAGTCAGTTGTGTGGTGTCTTGTTAATATAACTGCCAGTCATCTAACCCTCCGCCTTTCCAATATAAGCAAGATAACTTCAGTCTGAAATAATTTTGTCCCTGACTTGAATGTTTTGCAGCGAGATAACGTTTACCTGAAGGTGATGTGAGTATATGATATCTCTGAAGCTGAATGACCATATTGTTGTCCTTGTATTCAAAGAGATAAGCATTTATCAGCACAAATACACCCAATTTAATACGAAAATCTGCAATATTGTTCATGCAAAACTGTGATGATAACTTTGGGGATTAGTACAATGACAACAATTTAAGCCAATGACAATTACACAGGGAAAGTTCATAGCCACACAAGACCCGTATCCTGACCAGGATGATGACTTCTGGCAACTGATCTGGGACTGTAATGTTCACGTCATTATCAGACTCTCCAAGGACACCAGTAAACATGCGGTGAGTTGTCTGTCTGTCTCTCTGTCTGTCTGTCTCTCTCTCTCTCTCTCTCTCTCTCTCTCTCTCTCTCTCTCTCTCTCTCTCTCTCTCTCTCTCTCTCTCTCTCTCTCTCTCTCTCTCTCTCTCTCTCTCTCTCTCTCTCTCTCTCTCTCTCTCTCTCTCTCTCTCTCTCTCTCTCTCTCTCTCTCTCTCTCTCTCTCTCTCTCTGTCCTCTCTCTCTCTCTCTGTCCTCTCTCTCTCTCTCTCTCTCTCTCTCTCTCTCTCTCTCTCTCTCTCTCTCTCTCTCTCTCTCTCTCTCTCTCTCTCTCTCTCTCTCTCTCTCTCTCTCTCTCTCTCTCTCTCTCTGTCCCTCTCTCTCTCATGTCAATAATCTTAACCAGACGGCATAGGTTTAAAATAAGGTATTAGAAAAGAATGAAATAATAATAATAATAATAGTTTATATTTATAATAAATACGGAGGCAGGTATTAGAGTGGTTCCACAGTAGGTAGAGTATTTTCGTATATTATGAAGGCAGTAATTAGCCAGCGCGTCTCGGACATAACTTAAGATAATGAGTGTGTCGAGTCTTACATTTGGGGCAATTCATAATACATATTAATACCATATTTCCTCTTCGGGAACTGTAACGACCCTGGGTTCCTCAGTTGGAAACCAGAGGTCAAATTGAGCTAAATAAACTACCTTATATTTGACACGCTTGCTGACGTGTCTTTGTTCGTATCTTCCTTGCCAAACGTAGGACGAATCTTGTTGCTCACAAAGCATTCAGACTCTTGAGCTTGTTGTGGATTAAGTATAACATTGTAGTAATTATTAACTATCCTTAGAACGAGTAAACAATATTGTACATCGGTGAAGACTTTTAATGTGTATAGCTGCACGATCAATTAGGCTCTTGATCAGCACGATCAATTAGGCTCCGGCACCACAGCAACTCGGGAGCCCTGGATAGGACGCTGGATGCGGTCTTCTCTGACTGGCGTTCGTGGGGGTCAAGACCTTCCTGAGCTGCTCTGCACTCCTCTACCTTTTCCTCTTACTTACTTCCCTTACCTTAAGTTCCTGTAACCATTAAGTTAAGTACTGTGTTTTTAAGTGTGCCTATTCTGGAAGTGAAAGATTTGTGTAGACCTGGGGGTAGTATTTGCCAGTGTTTTGGGTATCCCTAAGAGTTGTGTTGTGTTAGGGTACCACGTGGTCTCACTACCCTAAGCTGCCTCAAGCTTCAGGTTCTTCACTAGTAGTACTTTACCCTAGCTTGTTCTCAGTGTAAACCTTGTATCCTGCTGATGTGGACCAAGGCTTTTAACATAAGATAGTGTGGTAAAGTAATTATTGTTATTGGTGTGAATGTATATGGGGGGTTGTTAAGGGGTTAATAAATAAGTAAGTTAGTTAAAGGAGTATCCATTCTTCCTGTGTAGGAGATCTCTGATCTACCTCTAGGCTGACAATTGCAGTAATAAGCCACTATAAGTTTACTTTTATATATTTATTGGGGGCCAGGCCTTGAAGATCTCCAGTACTGGATGCCTCTTAATGCTAACTACTGACCCTACTCTAAATTAATACAAGATCCCCCATAGCAGCACTTTAACCCATAACAAGTGGGGGCCTGTCCGGGAGCACTTGTTATGGGTTAAAGTGCTGCTATGGGGGATCTTGTATTAATTTAGAGTAGGGTCAGTAGTTAGCATTAAGAGGCATCCAGTACTGGAGATCTTCAAGGCCTGGCCCCCAATAAATATATAAAAGTAAACTTATAGTGGCTTATTACTGCAATTGTCAGCCTAGAGGAAGATCAGAGATCTCCTACACAGGAAGAATGGATACTCCTTTAACTAACTTACTTATTTATTAACCCCTTAACAACCCCCCATATACATTCACACCAATAACAATAATTACTTTACTACACTATCTTATGTTAAAAGCCTTGGTCCACATAAGCAGGATACAAGTTTTACACTGAGAACAAGCTAGGGTAAAGTACTACTAGTGAAGAACCTGAAGCTTGAGGCAGCTTAGGGTAGTGAGACCACGTGGTACCCTAACACAACACAACTCTTAGGGGTACCCAAAACACTGGCAAATACTACCCCCAGGTCTACACAAATCTTTCACTTCCAGAATAGGCACACTTAAAAACACAGTACTTAACTTAATGGTTACAGGAACTTAAGGTAAGGGAAGTAAGTAAGAGGAAAAGGTAGAGGAGTGCAGAGCAGCTCAGGAAGGTCTTGACCCCCACGAACGCCAGTCAGAGAAGACCGCATCCAGCGTCCTATCCAGGGCTCCCGAGTTGCTGTGGTGCCGGAGCCTAATTGATCGTGCTGATCAAGAGCCTAATTGGTCGTGCAGCTATACACATTAAAAGTCTTCACCGATGTACAATATTGTTTACTCGTTCTAAGGATAGTTAATAATTACTACAATGTTATACTTAATCCACAACAAGCTCAAGAGTCTGAATGCTTTGTGAGCAACAAGATTCGTCCTACGTTTGGCAAGGAAGATACGAACAAAGACACGTCAGCAAGCGTGTCAAATATAAGGTAGTTTATTTAGCTCAATTTGACCTCTGGTTTCCAACTGAGGAACCCAGGGTCGTAACAGGAACAGTATCATAGGAAACTGGAATTCACTGTAAGATTCAGTAGTGGATGTTATCATGAACTTAGAGTACGAAGTAGAGTATATACGGCAGCCGGACCACAACATACATACATACAGATTTAAGCCGGTATATATATTTGTTTAGGGAATTACATACATACATGAATGTAAAATAAAAGCGTCGGTCTCTCACGCGTGGGGTCGATGGTTTCGAGTCTCCTAGAGCCCAGGTGAATGGGAAGGTACATAAATGTATACTGTTCATATCAGGAGGGGGACCCGGCGTTGCCCGGGATAGTCTACCTTCTTCGACCCCCCCCCCAGTCCTCCCTTCTTATATACACTAGGTTAGCCTTAAATTCCCCAAGCGACTGTCCCATACTGGAGGTCAGGTGTTCGAGTCTCCTAGTGCCTGAGGTGAATGAAATATATAAACATAAAATGTTGACCACAATAAACGTGGATAGTAACATTTCATTTATTTGGGCATTGGGAGCCTCGAACTATCGACCCCGGCGGATCTTATTGAAACTTTTAAAATACAGAACAAGTTTGAGGATATTAATCCAGACCACTTCTTTAAAAGGTCAAACGTAACGTATGCAAGGAGCAACAGCTACATGCTCAGCAACCCACACTCTTGCATTGGCATCAGGAAAGGCTTGATTGATTGGTTGATGAAGATAAAGTCACCGAAGAGGTGGCACGGGCATGAATAGCCCGTAAGTGGTAGATTTGTTAGTTTTTTGAGTGAATGTATACTGTGTGCTGAGGTCGCATTTAAATCGTCAGTCCTTACTATGTGGCTGCTATCGCGGGGGAGGATACTACTTGACAGCACCCATGAGGATGTTCAGCTGCTGGACACCTTTTTTTTTTTTTACCAGAAGAGTGGCTGTGTTGATGGCTTCAGGGTGGTTGCTGCAAGATTCAGGGACTCTTAAAGCCCTGAAGGTCGTTAGTTGCTTCACATTCCAGGAGATAGTGAAATAGTGGCTTTTCTGTGATTGTTTGGCAGAATATGCATTCCCTCTGTCTGGGTTGACCTATTTCCCAGTTGCATCTGTAACCTAGACGGAGTCTAAATAACCGAACTGCTATTTCCCTGTGAATTCCATTCGAGATATTTAGCCTGTCTAACTTGATGGCCTGAAGATACCATATTGCAGAGGGCGAACCTTTTGCTATTCTCTGGTGTAGATGGGCTGTGTTGAGGTGTGAGAGTTTTTTGGTGACGGTGTTTTTTATGTACTCTAGGCTGAGTTGGATTGTTTAGTGGATTACTGGATGACAAGTTGCTAATTTACCAGTTTCACCGGGTATCTCATTTAATGGGATTCCAACATGGGATGGGATCCACTTTAAGGTTATGTTGAGTCCTTTGCCTTTAGCTACTGCTCCAAGATACAAAATGGTGGTAATTATTTCCACGTTATCTTTCCACTGTTTTTTTCCTAATATTTGAAGTGCAGCTTTTGAGTCTGTGTGTATGATTGCATTTTGAGTGTTTTGTACAATCACATATGCGAATGCCTGTTGTATGGCAAACAGCTCAGTTTTGGTTGATGATACTAGTCCTCCCAGTCTCAAAAAAAGCCTGTACGCTGGCCGTGCAAAGAGCAGCACCAGCACTCTCATAGGAGAAGCTTCTTCACCATAGGGTTATAAAACCATGGAACCGCCTACCCGACGACTCAATAAATGTAAAGCCATTACTGAAGTTCAAAACCCACTAGAGAGATGGTGGCTCTTAGGTAAATTCAGGTAGAAGAACATGGGTCCTGCACTGTGAGGGACGTATCTACCCCTTCCTCTCCCCTCCAATATTTTCTATGCGCATTTCTCCGTGGTTATGAGCTCACATTATACTGACCAACAGACAGCCCGCTACGTGGACGACCGCGGCGACAACACCTGGGTGATGGGGCACGACGAGCTCAGTGTCTCCCTCATGGACACCCTCAACGACGACAGCTTCTGCAAGAGAACACTGACAGTCTGTAAGGTTGGTCACTCTTTGTCGTGTCATTAGGTTATTAAGGCCAATAAATTATTGTTGTCAAATTCAACGAAGTTAATCACTTGCTTTGGCCAAGCTTGGTGTGGTCAGCTGTCATCTCAGGCTCACACTAGCTACAAGGTCACCCCAGGTCAGTACAGCCTGGACACTAAGGACAACATTGGGGTCACCCAGGTCAGTAAAGTGGTCACTACTCTTAGTCCTCAAGCCAGGTGAGTCAATAGAGCGGTGTTCTACATGAGAGTGACATCGTACAGTACAGTTTGGTCACTACCAATGCCTCAGGATAAGAAACAATGGTCACCCATATTATTGCAGCAGAGTATGGCCAGCTTAGTGCCACACCTGACGAGCAAGACCAGCATGTTTGGGTCTATGGGTCTCGGTAGTACAGGCGGGTTCATTCTCCACTAAAAAAATCAGCAATTCCGGGTTCGAATCCCGGGCAGGACATAAATCGTTGGGTGTGCTTCCTATCACCTAATGCCCCTGTCCACCTAGCAGTAAAAAGGTACCCAGGACTTAGTGAGCTTGTTGTGGGGTTTCATCTTGGGCGGGGTCAATAACTGAATCCTGAGGGGGACCTCAATATAAGACATATATATATATATATATATATATATATATATATATATATATATATATATATATATATATATATATATATATATATATATATATATATATATATATATATATATATTAGTATATTTTGGTAGCAGTCTTTCCTGTAGACATATATTATTAAATATGACCGAAAAAGTAAGATTAATAATTCTAACACGAATTTTCTCAATCTTTCGTACATTACGCTTCACTGTTGGAGGTAAATCAAAAATCACTTCTCCAAAATTCATTTTTATTTCTAGTCTGACGCGACACGGGCGCGTTTCGTAAAACTTATTACATTTTCAAAGACTTCACAAATACACAACTGATTAGAACTTGCGTTTCTCTGATTTTATATCTACATTTGAGTGAGGTGGGAAGGGTGATGTGGCATTAACACAAGACAGAACACTAGGGGATATTAATAGGGTATTAAAAGTATCAACACAAGACAGAACAGAAACAATGGGTATTGAATAGAAGTGTTTGTAGAAAGCCTATTGGTCCATATTTCTTGATGCTTCTATATTGGAGCGGAGTCTTGAGGTGGGTAGAATATAGTTGTGCAATAATTGGCTGTTGATTGCTGGTGTTGACTTCTTGATGTGTAGTGCCTCGCAAACGTCAAGCCGCCTGCTATCGCTGTATCTATCGATGATTTCTGTGTTGTTTACTAGGATTTCTCTGGCGATGGTTTGGTTATGGGAAGAGATTATATGTTCCTTAATGGAGCCCTGTTGCACCAGGGCTCCATTAAGGAACATATAATCTCTTCCCATAACCAAACCATCGCCAGAGAAATCCTAGTAAACAACACAGAAATCATCGATAGATACAGCGATAGCAGGCGGCTTGACGTTTGCGAGGCACTACACATCAAGAAGTCAACACCAGCAATCAACAGCCAATTATTGCACAACTATATTCTACCCACCTCAAGACTCCGCTCCAATATAGAAGCATCAAGAAATATGGACCAATAGGCTTTCTACAAACACTTCTATTCAATACCCATTGTTTCTGTTCTGTCTTGTGTTGATACTTTTAATACCCTATTAATATCCCCTAGTGTTCTGTCTTGTGTTAATGCCACATCACCCTTCCCACCTCACTCAAATGTAGATATAAAATCAGAGAAACGCAAGTTCTAATCAGTTGTGTATTTGTGAAGTCTTTGAAAATGTAATAAGTTTTACGAAACGCGCCCGTGTCGCGTCAGACTAGAAATAAAAATGAATTTTGGAGAAGTGATTTTTGATTTACCTCCAACAGTGAAGCGTAATGTACGAAAGATTGAGAAAATTCGTGTTAGAATTATTAATCTTACTTTTTCGGTCATATTTAATAATATATATATATATATATATATATATATATATATATATATATATATATATATATATATATATATATATATATATATATATATATATATATATATATATATATATATATATATATATGGTCAAGCGGATATATATATATATATATATATATATATATATATATATATATATATATATATATATATATATACACACACTGGCTACCTGCCCCCGACACAATGAATTATTAATAAATGCAAACTATGTCCAAACAATGCAAACAAACTGCCCGAAACGCTGCGCGTGCTAGTGGCTTTACAAGACTGTAATTACCATATTTGTATCCTCACATTCCTTATGTACATTCTTGTATATGCATAAATAAATAAATAAATAAGTAAATAAATAAATAAATGTCGCCATGATCGCGGGAAAGATCTATAGGTTTCGTAAACACGTAAATGTTTGGTGAAACCTGACCAAAATGCTTGTAAGTTAGCTTAAGGTTGTCTTGTGACTTCTGGCGGCTCATCAAGTCCAGAGAGAACAGCTTTAAGCGAGACTTCAGACCCAGGGCTAAACAGGAAGGTGCTGATGACAGCCCGCGAAGCTAAATGTCATGTACAAACCAATTTATTTTTAAATTTTATCCAAACTATTTGAATTTTGTTTTAAATATATTTAAGGAAGGAAGTACCACCTCTGGCTGGAAGAAGAGGACTCTTAGCCTCGGAGGAAGGCACACATAACGCATTAGAGGCGGGTATTTAGGTCCCCTATATACAGTTTCTATGTTCTTTTCTCCTAACCACCCCTTCCTGTCGTGTTTTGTTATGCTTTATTAGATATTTAAAGGTTACGAGATGTACATTGGTTATTATTACAGTGAGTGCTTAAGGTGATGGAGCTCCTCTGCTTCCTGACAGGAACCGAGGGCACAGCAGACGTTTTCCCTCTGGATCACCTCACTGAGGCGCTGTAATAAGAAACTGGCAGCCCTTAGAACTCTAGTTGTTGCTGTCAATAAACCTGGAACACAGTTCTTTGAGAAATTCCCAAGGCACTCCTATCCCCAGGAACCATGCATCTCAGATGCTATGGGAAGAAAGGTGTATTGAACTTTCAACCACCTGTATTGACTGATTTTGCTATTTCTCTGTGGTTGGCCGCCCCACCTGCTTGATCAGCTCTAAAGTGTATGTAGGTGTCAGCTAGGGTGGATACACATGTGTAGTCCCACACCAGCTGTCTGCCCCTCTTCCAGGGTTATATTGTGATGCCATCTGGGCGAAGTGCAGCGTCATCCGGGTTTGGGTCTACTAGGGTGCGAGGTTCTCTCTCGGCTTTGCATTGAGCTGAGGCAAGGCTCCTCTTGATGATGCAAGATGATGATGATGATGATGATGATGAAAACACCTAAAATGTACTTTTTGTCGATAGCACCAATAACAGGATGAACGACACATATGGGTATGCTCATTCACAGGATGAAGAACCCATCGGGTGCTTTTCCTATTAGGGGGTGTTGTACATGTTCCTATGGCGGTATGCTCACTCACAGGACGAGTGATGCTGCCCAATAACTCACCTTCCGGGGTAAAATTTAAACAAGAAATCCATGTTCGAAACCCTACTAAAACTGACGTGAAGATGTGGCCGTGCCGGCAGGGTGAGGAGGTGAGGGTGATCCATCACTTCCACATGACGGACTGGCCAGAGAGGTCGGTGCCGGCCAGCCAGCACGCGCTCAACCTGGTGATGGCCGCGCGCACCGCCAACAGCCTCTACAGTAAAAACCCAGTTCTCATTCACTGTGGGTAAGCTTGTCCTATCTTGCATTAAAACATGTATTGTATGTATGTATGTATGTATGTATGTATGTATGTATGTATGTATGTATGTATGTATGTATGTATGTATGTATGTATGTATGTATATTGTATTGTATTGTATTGCATTGTAAACATATGTTGTTAAATATGACCGAAAAAGTAAGATTAATAATTCTAACACGAATTTTCTCAATATTTCTTATGTTTCTTTTTACTGTCGATGGTAATTGAAAATTCAATTCTCCAAAATTCATTTTTATTTCTAGTCTGACGCGACGCTTGAACGTGTTTCGTAATAACTTATTACATTTTCAAAGACTTTAGTTTACACACATACAACTGTAACTTGAAAACACTAAACAGAGTTTTACTTATGCTAAACACTTAAACAGCTTGTCTTATATACTCGCATTTGGGTGAGGTGATATATTGCAACAGTTCTGGATGAGGTGAACAAACTTTTGATCAACACAAGACAGAACACGGAACATTGGGTATAAATTGGATATATGAGAGAGAAGAATGGAAGTAACTGCAAAGGGCCTATTGGCCCATACTTCCTCTTGATGCTTCTATATTGGGACGGAGTCTTGAGGTGGGTCGAATATAGTTGTGCATTAATTGGCTGTTGATTGCTGGTGTTAACTTTTTGATGTGTAGTGCCTCGCAGATGTCAAGCCGCCTGCTATCGCTGTATCTATCGATGATTTCTGTGTTGTTTGTTAAGACTTCTCTGGTGATAGTCTGGTTGTGGGAAGAAATTATATGTTCCTTGATGGAGCCCTGTTGCTTATGCATTGTTAATCGCCTGGAAAGAGATGTTGTTGTCTTGCCTATGTACTGAGTTCTTTGGGGCTTACAGTCCCCAAGTGGGCATTTGAAGGCATAGACGACGTTAGTCTCCTTTAAGGCGTTCTGCTTTGTGTCTGGAGAGTTTTTCATGAGTATGTTGGCCGTTTTTTTGGTTTTATAGTAAATCGTCAATTGTATCTTCTGAGTTTTGTCTGTAGGGATAACGTTCCCATTAACAATATCTTTCAGAACCCTTTCCTCCGTTTTATGAGTTGTGGAAAAGAAGTTCATGTAAAATAGTCTAATAGGGGGTACAGGTGTTGTGTTAGTTGTCTCTTCAGAGGTTGCATGGCGTTTCACCTTCCTTTTTATGATGTCTTCAACGAAACCATTGGAGAAGCCGTTGTTGACTAGGACCTGCCTTACCCTACATAGTTCTTCATCGAATTGCTTCCATCCTGAGCTGTGGCTGAGAGCACGGTCGACGTAAGCGTTGACAACACTCCTCTTGTACCTATCTGGGCAGTTACTGTTGGCATTGAGGCACATTCCTATGTTTGTTTCCTTAGTGTAGACTGCAGTGTGGAAACCTCTGCTCCTTTCCATGACTGTTACATCTAGAAAGGGCAGCTTCCCATCCTTCTCCATCTCGTAAGTGAAACTCAACACAGAATTCCACTCGAATGCCTCCTTCAGTTCCTGCAGACGTCTGACATCAGGTACCTATGTAAAAATGTCGTCAACATACCTGCAGTATATGGCAGGTTTCAAGTTCATGTAAACTAAGACCTTCTGTTCAATGGTACCCATGTAGAAGTTTGCAAACAGGGCGCCTAGGTGAGAACCCATGGCGACCCCATCTACTTGCTACTTGCTTGTGCCCGTCAGGGCTCAAGAAGGGTGCCTCTTTAGTTCAAGCTTGGAGTAGTTTCCTTAGAATGTTTTCTGGTATGTCAAGAGGAGTACAGGCCGGATCACGATACACTCTGTCCGCTATCATCCCAATTGTTTCATCCACGGGTACGTTGGTAAAGAGTGATTCTACGTCTAACGAGGCTCTTACCCCTGTGGCCCGTGTTCCCCACAGTAAGTCAACAAATTCCTTTGGAGACTTCAGGCTGAAAGCACAAGGTACATAAAGAGTCAGCAAGCTGTTGAGTCGCTTCGCCAGTCTGTACGTGGGTGTGGGTATCTGGCTGATGATTGGCCGAAGTGGGTTTCCAGGCTTGTGTGTCTTGACATTTCCATACGCATACCCAGGTTTGTATTCCCAATAATCTTTGGCAGGTGGAGTCCGGATTTCTTGGCGTTCACAGTGGGGGGGGGGGGGGGGTACAGTGTGTCACTAAACTAGCTACGCGATGCTAAAATCCTCATCACACAGGATAGTTAGTCATACAGGGCCATATGTTCAGTAGCCTGCACCGGCAAATTTTGGGTGCATTATGAGGATAACCTCAAGAACACGAGAGTGAATAAAGTAATTGTAAAGTTTCAGGTACGAACCAGGTACCAGGTCCTCATGCCAACGGGTCTGAATGGTCTAATAACTGAGCATTCGGTGATGTAGTGTGGGAGATCATGCCGCAGTTCCTGCTCACAGAGTTTGCACCTGGAGTGCTCAGGATTGGGAGATCCGTCACCTGTAGCCACCTGCCACAGGTAACGGTAACCCAACCTGATCCTGGCAACCACTGTGTCGCACAGTCTGGTCGACGTTTTGTGCTGCCCATAAACATAGGTTTCAGATCTGAACAAATCATAGCATTTTATACTGGTGCTTTCAGGTCGTTGGGAGTCAGTAATTTCTCTCCTATCAGACCTGAGTGTTTGGACCAATACAGTTTTGACAGCAGAAATGGGGATACCTAGATCTAATTCAACTTCATCTTTGTTACACGCTAAATTGGCTGCAATGTCTATGTCACACATAATCACATACAATCACACATAAATATAACCCATCATAATGACTGAAAAACCTAGCCGTCGCTATTGGCAACAAAAAACTTTTTCTACACTAACAAATTTTTCTTTTATGTTCTGCACTCTTCCAAGCCCAGATATTTCTATACTTTGTCTACAAGTATTGTTATTTTGTTACATTTATGTCATTTTACCATGTCTGTATTATGTCATTTGGACTCTTTCTTAGACACTATTTTATAATAAGAAGAATGGTGTGCTATCTCTTGATCATAAACAATTGTTTGTAACAGAGCTGGTTGTGGCAGAACAGGGACCATCATTGCAATCTGGCACCTTTTGGATGAGTTCCTTGAAGATCGAATGGCCAACATTGTGAGGACTGTTGAAATGATGCGCGAATGTCGAATGAGCATGGTACAGACTGAGGTGAGTTCATCCTGTCCTCAGGGAGGCGGCACCCTGGAGGTAATCACTTCAAAACCTCTTCATAATTAGTGTCATTAAATACTCCCTATCCAAGTTTAGACTAGGTTAAGGTTACATTAGGTTTCGTTACATTTGGTTACGTTAATATGGTGTATTATCTCGAAGATGTGAAATATGAAATTCAGAAACTATTTATTTTATATTTTTGAGTATCTCCTAAAATTTTATTTACAGAAAACCAATTTCTTCAGAATTTCGAAGAAAACTAATTATGCATAGATTTTTTATATTTTAAACCAACGATATATAATACAATAAAGCTATAACTTGAGCATATTCTCTGTTTAAGACAAAGGTTTACCTGGCAATTTACAAATAGACTATTACTGGAATGGTAATATGCTTTCAGACTATCACAAATATCAAGATAACTATCCAGGAAGTTTTAGGGGGGGGTTTGATGTCTCGTTCTAATCACGTTACACTGGAAACGTGTTCAGTGAGTTATAATAATAATAATAATAATAATAATAATAATAATAATAATAATAAATATAATAATAAGGACGTTTCGGTCCGTCCTGGATCATTATCAAGTCATGTGATAGAAGAAATGATAGATTGAAGAAGATTAAGCCACCCAAGAGGTGGCGCGGGCTTGAATAGCCCGTAAGTGGTATTTTTTAGAGAATGTATGCTTATTTATTTATTCAATTATTTATATATATACAAGAAGGTACATTGGGGGTTAACAGAGAACATAGAATTTAAGTTGAATTTATATTCTTGTAAAGCCACTATCTTGTAAAACCACATATCACACTGAAAATGTTTTTATTGTGAATTCACCATTTACTTTATTTTAAATTAAAATGTGTTCCGTAGTACTGGGGTAATATAAGTTTTAATGATTTGAATGACATTTGTATTTCAGTTCCTCATACAAAGTAATATTCCCTGATATTTCAGGATCAGTATGTCTTCATATACAAATGTTTTGAAGATTTTAAAGAGAAGCGTAGTCAATATGAAACACATGCTGGTAAGTTTCATTTGTTTCTCGTCATTACTCTTTATTTGTCACTGTAAAGAACTTAAATAAAGTGAATTATATTTGTTTAATTATTGTTGGTAAAATAATAATAAGGCTTTGACCAGACCACAGACTAGAAAGTGAAGGGACGACGACGTTTCGGTCCGTCCTGGACCATTCTCAAGTCGATTGTGGACAATCGACTTGAGAATGGTCCAGGACGGACCGAAACGTCGTCGTCCCTTCACTTTCTAGTCTGTGGTCTGGTCAACGTAACTTCAGCTATGTTATAGTGACTCATCGCCTGCAATAATAAGGCTTTTAAGTTTTATATATATATATATATATATATATATATATATATATATATATATATATATATATATATATATATATATATATATATATATAATGTCGTACCTAGCCATTTCCTCGACACACAAAGGCACTGTAGCACTGCAACAGTCGAGAACAAATTCACAACATCCGACTTTTGGGTCTTTGTTTGGAGGACGGGCGGCACTTCGGTCCATCGTCCTGTGGAGTTGGGCGCTTCGAGTAGCTTGGCTTCTGGATTGACAGCACGTCCTCATAAACAAAGGCCAAAGTTCATTCTATGCACCTGCCAAACCCGCTGTTTATGAATGAAAATGGTTTACACACGACTCACAATTGTTGACGTTATATTGAGGTTATCTTGAGATGATTTCGGGGCTTAGTGCCCCCGTGGCCCGGTCCTCGACCAGACCTTTTTGTTACACCCCCCCCCCCCCCCAGGAAGCAGCCCGTAGCAGCTGTCTAACTCCCAGGTACCTATTTACAATAATATTAATTTATATTTGATAAAAGTTCAGTTTTGAATTAACAGAATGTTCAAACTGATGAATGCGTCTTTAGGGTTGACCGCTGGATAGAATGGACTTGGTCCGAGGACGGGTTGCCTCCAGTTGTCTGTAAAGCTTCGCTGACTTTCTGGAGTTGTTTTTTCCAGTAATTAGTTCAGTTCATTTATTATGCACCCCATGCCCATCCTGTGTGCGGTCAACCCGTTCTCGCACTTTCTTACAGTCAATATTGACTTATTAAATACGTGCATATGTAACATATTAAACATACTAGTTTACCTTGAAAAGCTTCATAGAAAACACCGACCTTACCTAACCTTCTTAGTATGTTAAGATAAGCATCCTATTGCTTCGTAATTACAATTATTACTTATCCTATACCTATAATAGATTAAGTAATAATTGTAAATACGAAGCAATAAGATGCTTATCTTAACATACTAAGAAGGTTAGGTAAGGTCGGTGTTTTCTATGAAGCTTTTCAAGGTAAACTAGTATGTTAAGTATGTCACATATGCACGTATTTAATAAGTCAATACTGACTATACGAAAGTGCGAGAACGGGTTGGTGCGGTAGTGGAAAGGGTTACAGAGGCACATAATAGGCTCAGGGACTGAACCCCCAAAATTTATTTAGTTAAGCAAGTTGCAGTCTAGGGTGGCGACGTGTCACTAGCTCCCAGCGCCGCTGTGGGTTGTGACTGCTCCCCGGTGAGGCAAACAAAATTTCAGCGACTGATGAAACTTTTAGTATGCAGCAATCTCAGCAAGATAACTTGAGGGAGTCACGGGGCTCCTCCAGAAAGATGCATTACATTACATACAACGGCGGGAAAATTTTGTGTAATGCAGTATTTCTTAAATTGAATGTACACATTTTGGTAAAAATTTAGGTTGGAAACACAGTAGTATGATGTATGGGACACGAATATGTTTGTTTCATAAATATATTACAGTAGTTCATACTCAAATTCATGTTAAGTAGACAATATTTATAAGCAGTTTGTTTTTAATTTGGTGTTATTATTTCAGCAACGTACGAAGTAGTGAGATAATGGGTCGACACCGTGGGAACGCCTTCACCCAAGCAAGACAACACCTTCATATATGATCAAGCAGTATCACTTACTTTATTTGGTTACTTTAACCCCATAGTTAAATACGTTAAGAGAATTGAGTAAAATCTATACAGTATTCTAAATTAGAAGGTCATCTAAAATTAAGATGAAATAAAAATGATCTAAAATTAGATCATCAGCATAATGCCGATCAAATCCAATGTGTTCCAACTTTAGAACTTGGTAGGAAATGGCATATAGTAATCACCTGATTATTGTATTTGAAGATACAGTATATAGCCAGAAAGGCCAAACATCATAATGCTTTTAATTTACCAGTGATGAACAGTACACTTTTTCATCTGCAATTCTGTTCAGTTTTCAGTATAATACATTTCATTACTTTGATACAATTTGTTTTTCATCACAATCTTTAATCGGTTTGTTATCATTTTGTGTAGCCTTGAACATATGAGGAACATTAAACTATTACAAGAGCAGTGTATGTATTACAGAACATTGGTGCTTTAAGGGTATTGGTATTCAATACAAAGTTTACTTGTGTAGAAAGGTAAGCATCATAAAATATTCCTACAATACTTAGAAATATATTGTAAAACAAACAACAGTTTGTTTTGCACACAAACATTAATTTAAGCACGAATAGAACCGCACGTCTATGGGTCATCCAATAAGGTTAGCAGACTTCTAGATGTTACCACTGCTAGGCTTAGGCTCGGCTACAAGTACCTCTGGGAGTTTGTAACATCTGCTGATGTAGATTTGACTAAATGTAAACTCTGTCAGCAGAACTATTCGCATACTTTGCGTCATTATATAATGGAATGTGAAAAAATCGCGGAATTTAGAGATAACACCATCAATAGTGTCCAAGAAATGTGTAAGTACTTCATTCATAATGATGTGCTGCCCGAAATCTTAGCGAAGTATCCAAAATTTGCTTACTGTAGGTAATGCACATGACTGTAAAGCTGCCGCCCAGTTGGGTGGGTGTGGAGCACATGACTGTAAAGCTGCCGCCCAGTTGGGTGGGTGTGGAGCACATGACTGTAAAGCTGCCGCCCAGTTGGGTGGGTGTGGAGCAAGACTAGTAACTGTGTGACTCATCATAGATGTAAAGTGCCTTGTATAGTGACTGTTGTGAGCCTCTTGTTGATCACTTGTGACACAAAAGATTATTGATGTGTGTATTTGTGTGGGTGATTAAATATGTATGTGTATGTATATATGTATACGTATGTATATGTACATGTATACATGAGTATGTGTACATGTATATATAACATTAATAATTGTGTAACTAGCGTCAAAAGATTGTTATTTGCTTAGCTAAACGAACTAGAGGGTTCAGTTCCTGAACCGATTATGTGCCTCTGTAATCCTTTACACCACCGCCCACGGGATGGGTATGGGGTGCATAATAAAGAAAGAAATTGAATAGACCTTCACGCCTTATAGTTACATGTCAGCTAGTTACAGATAATGTTCTATTTCAAAAGGTATATATGTAGGTCTTATAATGGTAGGTCTTATCGCTAATACATAATTGTTTGAGCAATGGAGATATTACAGTCACAGGGGAGCTGCTGTTTATTATTAGTCTTCATAATACTGAGTTTCTTAATCTCATATGTCATTCATCTTCTGGGAGCGATATATGGATACAGCGCAAGGATTTCAGGTATTTTATCTTTGGTAATAAGATAGATTGCCATATCATACAGCGTGAGCTTAGATTTATCTCTAAATGGCTCAATTTTACTACAATCCAAGATATAGTGTTCGAGTGTGTGTCCCTGTCTTTGTCCACACACTTTACACTTTACTTCATCTAGATCCATATACAAGGCGAACTGCCAGAGATACTTATAGCCAAGTCTTATACGAGCTGTGACAACATCTGTTAGTCTACTGACTTTGTTACTTGCCCCATACACATGTTTTACTTCACACATTTCACTGTGATGAACAATAGACCTGCTAGTTCCAGTTTGCACTGTTCTACTTTCTTCAAATCCATCCAGGAGTTCTGGTCTAATGACACTTTTAAGGGACCTATTTGATAACTCAAGATTCCGTTCAATACTGTCTTTATTTACTGCAGCCTTAGCAAGGGCGCCAACTTTATGTTCCTGCATGCCAATGTGAAAAGGAATCCACAACATTTTTATATTTACCCTCTTGCTAAGTATGTGTAGCGAGTAGATTATCCCAATAATATACTCGCTCCAAATGCATTGTTAATATTCCTGTCAACCTTTGGAGATGAATGAGGTGAGGCGTTGCCCGGGCAACACGGTGAGGTGTTGCCTGAGCATATAAGCAGCAGAATAGCAAACATTAACTAGTCTACTTTCAAGTGTGGTCTAGAGCAGACACTTGCGAGATACTGTACCGACGCTCAGTGCGCTCAACTCACACCAAAGTATCACCTGTGTACTTCTGTATATTCGACCAAATATATATATAGTATCTTAGTGTCTGTGTTTATTTGTCACCATACTTTACATAACAATAGAACCGTTACAAGCCCTTTGATCCTGGCCGGGAAGGACTGACCGGACGACAATCCTTAACTGTTCACCCGACAGAATAGGTTGTTAAACGATTTGGCGGGTCATACTCCGGGATAAACATTAGGATTAAGGACCTACCCGAAACGCTATGCATGCTATAGTGGCTTTACAAGAATTTAAAAACTTTTATATATAAATAAAAAAAAATCCGCCGACGAATCTTCTTGTGTGCGATGGGACTTAATTGTATCTGGCATAATTAAAATCTTAACTTAAATAATTAGTTTGTTAGACAATATATGATATTCAGATCTATAAATTACTTTAGAAAGGGCCTATAATGCATATAAATATTAATTTACACATTCCTGGCGCTATACGCTAGGAATTTCAATACGTTGTTCAAATAATTTTAGGCAGGGAGTCTCTGGGTCGGTTGGTCGCTACGGGGTCATCGACGCCGACCCGGTCAGTCGTCAGGAAGCAGCCGTGGCGTGAGCATCGTCGGTCCCGTGTAGGTAAGGCTGATCATTTTTTTTTTTTTTTTTTGCAAATATATCTCAAATATGAGCAGTTGGGAGGTATGCATGAATATATAGTCTACCTCCACCTACAATGCTTAATGCATTATACATTTGTTCGCTATTATAGCATTGAGTTTTGTTATGTCTCCGAGGGTCATTGTTTCCCTATTTTTTTCATCCAGGTTGTGTAGTTTTCAAATGTTTGTATTCCACTAATGCTAAATAGTCTGTCGTCTCTCGGATATTGTGGAAGATTTTTGAGGATCATGATTTGCCAACATTATATGGGGTAGGATATTATGTAGAATACACTTCCCCAGTGTTAAACTACCCCGTCGTCAGGCTAGGCTCGTTAACGCGGCGGTCGTCTCCCCCACATCCCAAGACGCATTTATTATCGACTTTCATGTACTGTGTATTAAAAAGTTTTTATCGTGTATAAATTAATTTTATATTCTATAATTAATTAGGCGTATAGTAGGTTCGGTATTTAGGTTCTGTTGGCAATTATTTTCACTTGAAGTATGTGGAGGGTGAAGCATTTACAGTTGCCTGTCCTCAGGCCAGGCTCCCCTACGCCGCCGCCCGACCCAAAGCCTCATTCATCAATTTTATCACTGTGTATTCAGAATTATTCTCGTGTATAAGGTAATATTATTTCATGAAGTTAATAGTTAACAACTAAGTTTACTGACAAGCGACAGTTCAATGTACAAATACTGCAATAGTTTAGTTTAGTTCATTTATTATGCACCCCATACCCATCTTGTGGGTGGTAGTAGAAAGGGTTACAGAGGCACATAATGGGCTCAAGGACTGAAGCTAAGCAAGTTACAATCTTGATACAGTTTACATTTGGTCAGATCTACATCAGCAGATAATGAGAATTCCCGAGATACTTGTAACCGAGTCTAAGCCGAGCAGTATAGTAACATCTAGAAGTCCGCTGATATTACTGGATGAACCATAGATGTGTGGCTCCTCTTGCTTGATAGTATGATACTGCCATAGATGAACAACTTCCTAACAGGAAGGAGCGGGGACACCCCTCCGGGAACTGAATTTACCTGAGGGCCACTAACACTAGTGGCCTCGATGAGGGCAGTAAGCCGGCGGCTTGTCAAAGGTCCCCCTATTTGACCTGATGATCCTTTCCAGCTGTATTCCAGGGCTCTGGATACACAACTGGTCGGGCTCTGGATACACAACTGGTCGGGCTCTAGATACACAACTGGTCGGGTTCCGATTACATAACTCCAGGGGTGTGACTTGTTGGGCTTTGGGTTGTGCTCCGGTTCGTGCATGGTTGTGCTTCAGTGGTTGTTTGTGTACTAGTGCTCCAGGTTTTTTGCTAGGGCTCTGTTTATATGTTTCCTAGAAATTTGAGTTTCTTTTTTTGTATATAGTTCAATTGTTTGATATGGCTCCATAGTGTGTTTCTAGGACAAGTGGAGGGTTTTAGGTAGCGCTAAGCAGATTTTTGTTTGTTCGAGCTAGGAATGGAGTTTGGTTGTGCTCTGGGACTGTTTAGCTTGGTGGGGGTTGGATGAGATGTATACTTGCTAGGCTTATGGTTACACAACTGGTCGGGGTCCGGTTACACAAATGGTGGGGCTCAGATTACACAACTGGTCGGGCTCCGGTTAATAACTGGTCGGGCTCCGGTTAAATAACTGGTCGGGCTCCGGTTAAGTAACTGGTCGGGCTCCGGGGGTGTCACCTGAGTTTTGGGTTGTGCATGGTCGGGCTTCCGTTCGTGCATGGTTGTGATCCAGAGGCTGTATGTTTGGTTCGTTCATGTTAGGCTTGCAGTTAGACAACTGGTTGGGCTCTGGTTACACAACTTGTCGGGTTCCGATTGCATTACTCCGGGGGTGTGACTTGTTGGGCTTTGAGTTGTGCTCCGGTTCGTACATGGTTGTGCTCCAGTGGTTGTTTGTGTACTAGTGCTCCAGGTTTGTTTGCTAGGGCTTTGTTTCTTTGCAAGGGCTTTATGTTTGTTTGCTAGAAATTTGGGTTTTCTGACCAGGGGGAGAAAGATACTGGCAGTATGGGGCGTTAAAGTTTATTGAAGATTAAATTCTGCAGAACATGTAAATATATAAAGTTCAAATAAAGTAAGTAATTATATAAAGTTTATATTAAACACGGTTTATATTATAGACTTATAACAAAGTTGATATTATATAAAACTTAATATTGAACATGTAAATATATAGTTTCAAATATAAATTAAGTAAATATATAACGTTTATATTAAAATATATAAAGTAAATATATAAAGTAAATATATAAAGTAAGAATTAACAGTAACAATTCCAAGGACTAGATTTAACTTAAAAGGTACACCCGTAGTAAGTATGAGACCTTAGCCTATAGTGACATGGAAACTAATTCTGCAGAAACCTAAAGGTTAACTGGTACTAGAATTAAGGCCGAGTGTAAATGTGTAGTAATTATATAACACTAGGATATAACAGGCAGGACACAAAGAATAACTAATAAGTGAGAGACCACATAACACGTAATGTACCCGGCCAAGAGGCCGTAAAAGACCTAATGGATAAGGAGAAGGGGGTGTGACTACAAGTAGGGCTTACTAGCACCTAGACTGGGCAAAGTATTAGTTGCGGACAGCGGGACACTTGGGGACCGGCGCTGCACCCCCCTTCCCACATGCAGTGGGGAGACAATCGGGACAACTGTGCAAAGCATGACGGGGGTACAAAAGCAGCCGCTTGCAAAGGGGGGGAGGGTGGGGTTTTGCGAGGGCAGCGGCGAGGGCAGGCGGAGTGAGGCAGAGCCCCATTGTGCGCCCGTATTTATACGGCCCCAAACTGCCCGCGCAACGCCGCGGGACGCGCTGCGCAATTGTTTCTTTCTCCCCCGCCAGAAACATTCCCGCTTGCGATGCAAGCAGTGACCATTTCTTTTTTTGTGTATAGTTCAATTGTTTGATATGGCTCCATAGTGTGTTTCTAGGACAAGTGGAGGGTTTAAGGTAGCTCTAAGCAGATTTTTGTTTGGTCGAGCTAGGAATGGAGTTTGGTTGTGCTCTGGGACTGTTTAGCTTTATGGGGGTTGGATGAGATGTATACTTGCTAGGCTTACGGTTACACAACTGGTCGGGGTCTGGTTACACAACTGGTCAAGCTTCGGTTACACAACTGGTCGGGCTCCGGTTAAATAACTGGTCGGGCTCCGGTTAAATAACTGGTCGGGCTCCGGTTAAATAACTGGGCGGGCTCCGGGGGTGTCACTTGGGCTATGGGTTGTGCATGGTCGGGCTTCCGTTCGTGCATGGTTGTGATCCAGAGGTTGTTTATTTGGTTCGTTCATGCTAGGCTTGTGGTTAGACAACTGGTCGGGTTCCGATTACATAACTCCAGGGGTGTGACTTGTTGGGCTTTGGGTTGCACATGGTTGTGCTCCGGTTCGTACATGGTTGTGCTTCAGTGGTTGTTTGTGTACTAGTGCTTCAGGTTTGTTTGCTAGGGCTCTGTTTATATGTTTCCTAGAAATTCGGGTTTCTTTTTTTATATAGTTCAATTGTTTGATATGGCTCCATAGTTAGTTTCTAGGACAAGTGGAGGGTTTTATGTAAGGCTAAGGAGATTTTTGTTTGTTCGAGCTAGGAATGGAGTTTGGTTGTGCTCTGGGACTGTTTAGCTTAATGGTGTGGGTTGGATGAGATATGGCCACTGCCTTTTGACGAAAGGCGGTGGAGTTTCTGATGGGGAAGGAAGAGACAATTGCGCATCGCGTTCCGCAAGGCACGGTGTGGCCAGCCTGGGTGGCATAAAAAGCGCGGGAAGTCAGGCTCTCACTCCCTCTCCCGTTCCGGTCCACGATTCACGAAGCGTTGAGCTACGCCATGTTATCATTTATTTAAGTTTCCCTAAATTAATTTATTACTTTGTTCAGCTTTCAGTTATGCCTTGTATTTACTTACTAATCCTGTTGCAGCGTTAAGGCAGTGTCCATTGCTGTGGGATACGCAAATAATTTTGTTTTCACTTTTGAGACCATTATTGTTTTAATCTAGACCAACTATTCCATGAATAAGTACTGTTTAATTAACCAATCTATCCCATGAACATTAGCTTTAATCTATCCAAACTATACCATGCATATATTACTGTTTAACCTAACCATCCTATACCTTGTATAGTCCTGCTTTATTCTACCCAAATTATCCATGACTATCACTGTTTACTCTTTTATTTGTTCAGCTTAAATATAAGTATATTATAATACGGTCTTAAGCTATTTACTTGTTCAGTTTCAGTTTGTCTTGTATTTACTCCGCTATTTATTCTCTGTTTTCTAACACTGCTTAAGCCTCATGCCTTGCTTGCTGTTTTGGCCTCACTATGTTATTTATATTATTTAAGTTTTCTAAAATTAATTTGTTACATAGTCCAGCTTCAGTTATGCCCGGTATTTACTTAATAACACTTTTGCAGTGTTAAAGCAGTGCCCATTGCTAACGTTTTCACCTTTCCACAGTGGCGAGAAGCCGGATCATGCAGCAACTGCAACACGGAAGAGGGCTCGGGCGGCGTCGACGCGAGGACAACAGCGCAGTGGTGCAAGGACGCAGCCGGCCAGGGCCAGGACGAAGCCCGCCCGTTTCGCCTCCCCCTCCTCGGGGGGCTCCTCGGGCGGCTCTGATATGGACGGCGACCACACATCCCAGAGGCCCACTGCCGGCATAGCGGCGGGTGGCACAGCGTCGCAGCCTCCACCCCTGTCGGCCGACGATTGGACGACGCTGCAGGCGCTCATCGCGCAGGCCCGGGGGCCCTCTCACGCCACAAGCCTTCCGGCCATGGGGACCTCCGAGGCCGACCCTGCCGCGGCTGCCACAGCCGCCCTGCCCCCCTCCACCGACCGTCGCCCACGGGCCAGGGCCAGGGGGCATACGTCGAGGCGACGTGCGTGCTCCTCCAGTCCGTCCTCCTTCGACGAGTCCCCCGAGGAGAGAGCGCCCCCCACTTTTTCTAGCCCCTGGCCGGGGCAACTCCGGGCGACCACGGGCTCCAGCATCCCACTCTTGGGCGTGCACGTCCCGCAAGCCCTTCGGGAGAAGGTCTGGGCAAACAAGTATGTGGACCTCGGGCACTTGCTTGCCTATGAGCGGGAATCAGGTTCTTTCGAGTCCCACTCTGCGACATTCCCTGACGCAAAGCAGCCTGGTAAGAAGCAGCCGCCCCTGACGCCGGACCAGTGGGCGCATGGCCTTGACATCTACGCCACTATCTACGTCGAGAAGCACCCAGCGGAGGCTCAGGCGCTGTTTACCTATGCGCGTTACGTGAAGACCATGAAGACGACCCTCAAAGGCGACTGGATGTGGTACGATAAGGCCTTCAGATGGGACAGGGAGAGGTCGGGCTGTTCATGGTTGGACTACAGGCTGGACTTGGAATTTCGCTCGGTGCAACGCATCGCCCAGGCCGCTGCTCAGCCGATGAGGCAGGAGGCAGGGCGACCGGCAGCACTTTCTCTCTCCAGCGCCCGGGCAGCTGGGCTACCCCCGGGCTACTGCTTCGCCTACCACTCGAGGGGACCCGGCTGCACTTTCACCTCATGTTCATTCAAGCACTACTGCCCACGCTGCCGAAGGAGGCACCCTGCCTACAACCCATGCCCTCCAGCACGGCCTCGCGACGAACCCACACAGGAGCAGCGCCCACGTCGCCACCCGCAAGTTACGGCTTCGAGGAGCTAGGCTGGGCTCCAACTGGTTACGCCTCTCTTTCTGGTCTAGGCGGGGCCCTCAGCCGCCTGTAGAAGGGCTTGCAGAACAGTACTATCGCGGTAGGCAGGTGCGAGAGTGTCGTTTCCTTCCCAGTTCGGTAGCTGTAGTTGCTTGGCCACCCTGAGGTTTCCCTCGCGGCCAGCGGGCACTCGGCCTGCTGGCCTGCGGGGTGGGGGTGCAGCGCTCGTCCCCAAGTGTTCCGCTGTCCGCAGCTACTACTTTGACTTTACAGCCATTCTACTAGTAAGCCCTACCTTGTCAGGTAATTCCTTCTTCCTTGGCGGCTCGGCCTCTGGCCTGGGGTTATTTTCTTCTCCAAATACATATCAGGCTTCCCCAGTCACTATGTATTTTCTGCCGCCTGATTATTCTCCAGCTAGGGTTTCCCTTATGTTATGTTGTTCACTTTGGTGTCCTGTTATACTTAGAATTAGATTTGTTACATTCGCCTCACTGCTAATTCTAGACATTAGGACATTAGGTTTCTGCAGAGTTTGTTACTAGGCTATAAGATTACGTTATTTTACTACGGGTGTACAATTTAAGATGTTTCGTGTACTTTGAGTTAGCCACGGCTATGTTATACATTTGTTAAGTCCTATTTAGAAGCCTGTTTTACTTCTGCAGAATTATTTATCGTGTCTAATAAATTTACGCCCCCATGTGTTGGTGTCTTCCTTCCCCTGATCAGAAAGTATACTTGCTAGGCTTAAGGTTACACAACTGGTCGGGGTTCGGTTACACAACTGGTCGGGCTCCGGTTACACAACTGGTCGGGCTCCGGTTAAATAACTGGTCGGGCTCCGGTTAAATAACTGGTCGGGCTCCGGTTAAATAACTGGTCGGGCTCCGGTTAAATAACTGGTCGGGCTCCGGTTAAATAACTGGTCGGGCTCCGGGGGTGTCCCTTGGGCTATGGGTTGTGCATGGTCGGGCTTCCGTCCGTGCATGGTTGTGATCCAGAGGTTGTTTGTGCACTAGTGCTCCAGGTTTGTTTGCTAAGGCTCTGTTTATATGTTTGCTAGAAATCCGGGTTTCTTTCTTTTGTATATAGTTCAATTGTTTGCTATGGGTCAATAGTTGGTGTCCAGGGCAAGTGGAGGATTTTTGGTAGGGCTAAGCAGATTTTTGTTTGGTCGAGCTAGGAATGGAGTTTGGTTGTGTTCAGCTGGGACTGTTTAGCTTTGTGGGGGTTGGATGAGATGTATACTTGCTAGGCTTAAGGTTACACAACTGGTCGGGGTCCGGTTACACAACTAGTGGGGGTCCGGTTACACAACTAGTGGGGCTCAGGTTACACAACTGGTCGGGCTCCGGTTAAATAACTGGTCGGGCTCCGGTTAAGTAACTGGTCGGGCTCCGGGGGTGTCACCTGAGTTTTGGGTTGTGCATGGTCGGGCTTCCGTTCGTGCATGGTTGTGATCCAGAGGTTGTTTGTTTGGTTCGTTCATGTTAGGCTTGCAGTTAGACAACTGGTCGGGCTCCGGTTACACAACTGGTCAAGCTTCGGTTACACAACTGGTCGGGCTCCGGTTACACAACTTGTCAGGTTCCGATTGCATTACTCCAGGGGTGTGACTTGTTGGACTTTGAGTTGTGCATGGTTGTGTAGGGTTCGGTGTTCAATGAACGAAAAGGACATGAGCAGTTTAAATTGCGAACGCATACCAACGAATAACGCTAGTATCTATATAACAAATTTATTGTCGTGTGGAGTTGATTTAACTTCCAGATACGTTTTGTTTAATAAATATTAAAGATTTAATGGCTGTTTATGAAAGATATTATATAAATACACATTCTACTTCTTAATATCACCAATTAAATTTGCGACAATTTGAGCCATGAAATGCGACGACTGGATCACTGTGTACAGGAGGCTGATATGGCAGCAAACACTCTCCAGGCGACCATATATCTTGGATAAGTCGCTCCACACAATTGTCGCTTGGACCGTCGACTTCCTATGGCGTCACCTCTCTCATATTTACGCCTCATTTCGTTATGAAATTAGATTATTTCAGAGTAAAAATAGGTTTGATCATGTTCTACGTGTAGCACCAACATTATAGTAAGTAAATATACCATATTTCTTCATTACTTACGTAATGCTAGGACGATTTGTGTAGTTTTGGGCCGATTTGGGTAATTCTATGGACCGCTTGGAGTAAACAATATACTCACTCCAACCTCTCATTAGCTTAACGGTGTAACTCATTAGCACTAATTACAAAGCTATAATCTTTTCTCTAATTACAGGTAACATTTCTTCCATCCTTCCAATCTATTAGAGGACGATGAGATGAGGTATAGTCCAATCATATAAGCAATCAAGAAGCGATTAATCATCAGTATAATTTCCAGTGATTCAGTTAACTTCAGTACAGATGTTTCGGCATTACCACACCTCTTCAGCCTCAAGAATGTAGCACTCGGTGTATGCAGTTCTAATCGACTCAAAGACACTCCAACTTTGACACAGCAGACAGCAGACTACAACCACATTGAGTTTAGACACCCACCATTCCTTATCGAGCCGCCACGCTCTCCCACATAGAGCTCCGCGACTCCAGCCTCACTTAGCTCTCTGCTTTGCTGCTCCATGTTCTGTCTCAAAGTCTACGACACTGCCAACAACTAACTGCTGTAACTTGGACTACTAAATAAATATGAAAACCCACTAAACACTATCTAATTTACCCGACAACGTAACATAATCGTATGTTACACCACATAATTCAGCGTTTCTAAATGAGTTAGGGCCATGTGCAGGGAATAGTAGAGGACACATTTTTTCCATATTTTGTCCTCTTCCTCGAGTTTACTGCATTTCCTGTGATTCTTGAGAATAGTTACAGCTGTTTCGTCTTTGGTCCTCAGAATATACAGTGGTACCTCCGTTTTCAAATTTAATCCGTTTCCAGAGACAGTTCGAAAACCGAAAATTGTCCCATAAGACATTTTGTAAATTTAATTAATCCATTCCACACCCCCAAAAATATTAACTTAAATACATTTTATACATACTGTACTACTACTTATATTTTGTACTACAGTATGTACAAGTACATCTTACCTTCATTGAGGACTCTTATTGGCGTATGGAAGAGTGAGGAAAGTGGGGGAGGAGGAGGAGGAGAGGTGTTAGTGTTCGGAAGGAGAGTCCCCTTCCAATATAACAGCAGTGATGAAATTTCTGGGGTACTCTCTCTTACATTTTGCAGGCATACCACTAGGACCTGGTTGTGGCTCACTGCTTGCTTGTCTTACTAAGAATCTGTCTATAGACTTGTTTTCCCCACATTTTAACACTTGTCTATAGTGAGACATTGCAGTGTCTCACTATGAATGATCTCTTGTTTTTCCTCTTTTGTTATCCTCAACTATTTTCTTAGGTTGAACTTTACCACTGACTTTCTTGGAACCCATTGCGTGATATATAATAAGAACTTTTATGTTCAGAAACCAAAAAATCACAAAAACGAATAGAAGTTGTTTGCTTATATTTTTAAGGCAACACCACAACATAGAGGTCCTGGGATCAATTTTTGCATAGGATGGAGATTTTTAGCCAGTTTCTTTTCACTTGATGTTCCTGTTCACCTAGAAGTAAATAGGTACCCCAGGAGTTAGGCAACTGTTATAGGTTGCATTTTGGGGAAGGTCAAGTGGTGGCATAGGGGACCCTAATAAGCATAACAGGTTTCCTGTTCCCAACAATGGAAAAATTAGAATAATAAAAGCTAGATACAATTTGATAGGGTGGGTTGGGCTCAACATGACAGAGGGCCTGACGGCATACTTGGTTTATTGACTAGTGAAAGATAGATTAATCAAGATTTTCAGTTGGCTCGGTGTCTGATCTTAGGGTAGATACTATTAAATCATAATGATTAGGAGAGAGAGACAGAGAAATTGGGTGACTTATGTTGGATTGTTCATAACTCGGGCAGCATGCAAATTTTATTTTTATTTAATTTGCATGTATGAAGCTTATTTCACACAATTATTAATTGTTGTCATTTGTTTAATAATAAATAAACTTAATTTACTATACAATTTATTTAATTGTGAAAGACACATTTGTGTTATATCATGCACAATGAACCACGTGAAAAAGAAACAAATCTGATATACGTACAATGTTCACATTATCAAGCACGATACAATTTAAGGGTTACAGCTTTCACAACTGTAGTGTTCAGCTCTGTATATACACACACCAGAAAAAAGGATAGGAAGTAAAAAGACAGTCATTCACTACACAGGTTAGGACTTGGAGTTGGGTCATGAAGTTGTGTACAGCTTGCATTATAAGCAGTACCATACTTATACCAGTGATCCAAATCAGATTTCACAATGGATTAACTGGTTATTCAGATTAAGAGAGTTAGGATTAGCAGGTGTGTACTGTACATTTTTTACCGTAATACATTTGTTAAGCAGTTCAGTATCTTTCAACAATTTTTGAAAATGAACTTTTTGACAAAAAGGATTTGATTTAAATATGAAAGCTCCTCTCTGAGCCATCATTGAACTGATCCATTAAGCAACATCCATCGGTGTCCTCGGTCAATAATCATGCAAAGTCAGGCAATGTTTGCCCACTAATGCTACCCTATAAGGTCATATTGTACTGAGGGAATCACTGGAGAAATTAATTAATCTAGTCTAGAAATGAGCCATCAGAAGTTAATAACAAATGGTTGGTTGTGCCCTCACCATAACAAATGGTGGGTGGGCTGTGTTCCCTCATCACACAGGTGTGGGAACAGTCAAACATGCCCTTTACACAGCAACTAAGTTTTAATCAATGACATTCAGACTTTTAAGCTCACACAAGAAGTATTATAAATTATTTGTAATAATAATGGAATGAAGGACATATTGTATAAGCATGACCAATAATACTGTATATCAAAAATCAAATTTCATGGTTCAACACAGAAGAGTGGTGTGCTAAGTACTCACTAGATAACACTCAGTGTGTG